AGGGAGGAGGAGGAGGAGGACGACGAGGAGGAGGAGGAGGAGGACGAGGAGGAGGAGGAGGAGGAGGAAGACAAGACAAGACAAGAACCGATGCGAGCCAAAACTCCTCGGGTCCGACTGGTGAAGGTAGCCGGCTCTCGTCTGCGTTCGGTTGCGCCTGCCAGCGGCTACCGCTGGAAGGGCAGCCTTCTCTGGCCGGCGGCGGGACGGCCCAAAAGGGACGCCGAGCTGCCCGCACACGGCACCACCCTCTCACGTTAGGTCGGGCATGTCCTCCTACGGGCGGATTTTGGGAGACAATGTGGGACCATCAAGGCCTGCTAGACCAGATGGAGCTGTGAAACCTGTGGGACCTGTGGGACATGCGGGACCTGCGGGACCTGTGGGACCTGCGGGAATTACGAGACCCGCGAACCCTCCGGGGCCTGTAGGACCTCTGGGACTTGTCGGACCTCCGGGACAAACGAGCCCTGTTGGATTTGTGGGACCAAAGAGACCTGCGAGACCTGTGGGATTTGTGGGATCAGTGGGAAATGCTGAACCTGTGGGGCCTGTAGGACATGAGAAACCGGTGAGACCTGTGGGGCCTGTGGGGCCTGTGGGACCTGTGCGACCTGCAAGACTTGCGAGACCCGTGGGACTTGTGATACTGATGGGACCCGTCGGACCTGTGGGACCCGTGGGACCTGTGTGGCCCGTGAGGACCTGTGGGACCTGTGAGACCTGTGGGACCTGTGGGTCCAATGGGACCTGTGGGACCCGCTGGGCCTGTGGGAATTGTGAGACCTGGGGGGCGTGTAGGACATGTGTGTTCTGTGGGATCAGTGGGGCCGGTGGGACTTGCGGGGCCTGCGAGACTTCTTGGAGCTGCGGGACCTGTGGGGCATGTGGGGCCTGTGAGACCTGAGGGGCCTGCAGCATCAACGAGACCTGCGTGACCTGCGGGGTCCGTGGGACCTGTGGGCGTTGTGGGAACGGTGGGACACGTGGAGCCTATGGGACCTCTACGATTCAGGGGACATGTGAGAACTGTGGGATTTGTTGGACCAGTGGGACGTGAGGAACCTGCGAAAGCTGCCAGCCTTGGCAGGCCTGCGGCGCCTGCGAAATTCGTTGGACCCGCGGGGCCTGCGGGACCTGTGGGATATGCGGGACCTGTGAGACTTGCGACAGCTGTGGGCCTTGGGGGACTTGTGGGACCCGTGGGACCCGTGGGACCTGTGGGAACTATGGGACCAGTGGGACCTGCGAGACCTGAGAGACCTGGGAGACCCGTGGGACCTGTGGGCTTTGTGGGACCTGCAGGGACTGTAAGACCTGCGGCGCGGCCTGCGAGATCTGCGAAACCTGTGGGCCTCGTGGGCACTGTGGGGCCTGTCAGACCTTTGAATCCAATGGGACCTGCGACCGCCGATGACCAAAATAAGGCCCTGAACTGTGGAACCGCCGGGCACCCAAATAAAGACCTTACTTGGGACCCGGGGAACTCCTTTATTAAATTTCGTCGGTCGACAGATGTCTCGTGCTCTGGGGCCATCGAGGCCCCCAGGGGGGGATTTATTTAGGAACTCTCGGTTTCTTGGAGCGGGGGGACACAACGTTCAAACGCCCCCACGTGGCCGTCGAAGGCCCTCAACTAGACACCCCACTTGGAAACGCGACGCAAGTGTTCTGCCGAGACCTGAAGGCGACTCTGATGCCGTCACCGCCGTACCTGCACTGCATCCGCTCATCCGCAGGCAAGCCCAAGAAACCGCCGTGGAGGCGGGCACGACCCACGACAACGAAAACGAAAGGGTACGCCCCGAAACGACGCAGATCAGCGTGTCACATGTTGCGGCCACTGCACGGGTATGGGCGACGATCTGTCGCGTAGTACGGCTTTCTTGGCGGTGCTCTAAAACTCACCGCGCCGAAACATGCGCAATCGCAGGGCGCGGGACTTGCTGCGAACAAATCGGCATAACGCGAGCGCCCAGTTCATGCACGCGCGCTGAACAAAACAGAAAGAACGACATTCCAATGTTTTGGCGCGCCGCCAAGAAGGGAGGGGGGGCGGGGGGCCCGCGAGCCCAGGAGGAACAAACTTGGCGGCATGCTACTCGCTACAGGAGGCCGCGCCACGCGGAGGCGCTCTGCCCGCATGAACGAGCGCATCGTCGCTCAAAATCGGCGCAATCGCGCCGCGCGAAGCATCGCTCCGCGGGGGCAATCCGCTCATGCAAGACATGTGCAACTAACAAACGAAACCGACGTCACGCGCCGCCTTAACCATAGTGATGCAATGCCGCAGCGACCTCGTTTTTACTACTACGACCTCCCCTGATCAGCGCGCGCATTGGTTGTGGCAAACGGGCCCCGCCGCGCGCGATCCCCACTCGACCTGTCGAAAGCACATTGAAGGGAATCTCCACGGGGAAAGCGCCGCAAGTGGCCAAGCTGCAACCATTCGAGAAATCGTTGCGTCAAACCAGAAACACTCGCCAACCATTGCCGCAACGCAGAAACCGACAAAACACATAATTTAAATGACTCCCATAAGTTTCTTGTGTGGTCAAAGGGACATGCCCGACTTGACTGTAAGAGAAGGGCGGGAGGGAGCAGAGACTGTTTCATGTCGCCCCCTCTGGCGAAGCCCTGTGCGGCTGGAAGCAGGGCCGGCCGGACAGGGGAGAAACAGACAAGCGAGGCGTGAGCCAGGTCGAACATACAACCCACACGCAACTGTGTTGCTGGCACGGTGGCAACAACTGCGAACACGCAGTGCTGCCGCAACCTCATTCAGACGGATCCCTGTGAAAACGAGCAATCGGTGTGGAGAGTCTTTTTATACAAGAAGGGCGTCCCCACGGGCTCGCAAATTCGGCCGACATATTGGATTATATGTCATACTAGTTATCACAAGAGAAGGTGGGGTACTCGCTGCTTCTGCGAGCAGCTCTCCCGTAGCTCAGACATCAAAATTACAATCTAGGGGGAGGATGAGGATGAGGAGGATGAGGATGAGGAGGAGGAGGAGGAGGAGGAGGAGGAGGAGGAGCACCAGCAGCAGCAGCAGCAGCAGCAGCAGCAGCAGCAGCAGCAGCAGCGCGGCGGCTTAGAGACAGACGCGAAACGCCCACCGGCCCATCAGCAGCGGCAGCAGCGCAGGAGCGGGCGGCAGAGAGGGGGGGGGCCCGGCACGAGCACGGAGGTTGAGGCACTCCGCCCGCCGCCGCGCGGCAGGGAGGGCGCGCGCTCAGAGCGCGCTCCGCGGGCCCGCGCCCCCCGCGGGCCGCCGAGCCGCCACGCGCCCGGCTGCCCCCTCGGCCACCGCGCGCGCCAGCGCCGCGCCCCCCGCCGCCCGCACCGACTCCACCGCGAGCGGCGCCAGGGCGGACGGCAGCGCCCGCGCGCGCAGCCCGCCCGCGCCCGCGGCGCCGAGCGCCTCCGCGGCCAGGGCGCAGACCTCGGCGGCGCAGCCCCACGAGGTCACCTCGGGCGCGGCCCAGCCGACCCCTAGCAGACCCTCCCCTTCCGCGACGTCATCCTCGCCGCTCGAGCTCTCCTCCGGCCGCACACGTGCGTCTTGGGGCGAGGCGAGTGGGACGTCACGGAAGGGGACGGTTTGCTATAGGGGTCGGTTAGGCCGTCTATCCTCCCTCCTCCGTTCTCCATCCTCTGTTCCCTCCTCCCCCTCATTCTCCCTCTCCTCTCTCTGTTCCTCCATCCTCTAGTTATCCTCCGTCCTCCATCCTCCCTCCTCCTCCTCCTCCTCCTCCTCCTCCTCCTCATCCTCCTCCTCCTCCTCCTCCTCCCTTCGCCTCCTCCTCCTCCTCCTGATGATCACCACGCCGCTGCCCCCGTGGCCGTAGTTGTGCACCAGCCGCGCCGCGGGCGCGCCGGGCGGCTGCAAGTCCTCCCTCTCCAGCCGCACGCCGCCGTGGCGCTGGGGGCGGGCGCCGCTCCACCGGCCGACGACCACGGGCGCGCCCGCGGCCCCGCGGGGCGCCGCCGGCAGCACGGCGCCCGGGAAGGCCGCGGCGACCCGCGCCGCGATGCTCGCCGCCACCTGAGCGACGATCAAAAACGGGTCTGGCGCGAGATGACGTAGCGCCCTTCCGCGGTGGTGGCTTACGCGGGCCGCCAGCGCGGCACGCCACATCGGAAGCGCAGGCGCCTGCGCGCGGGCTTGCGCGGGCAGCTCGCGCGCGCCGCTGTCGGCGCAGGCGGCCCCGTTTCCTGGCGTCGCTCACCTCGCCGTCTCGCACAGCGTCCTCCCTGACCGAGTAGCCGTCCTCCAGCTCCTCGGCGCCGAGGGGCCGCAGCGTGCCGGCCAGGGCCACCACGCCCTCGCCCTGCGGCACCGCGTAGGTGAGCAGGCCGCTCGGGGCGTCCTCGTCGCTGACGTGGGCGAGGCCGTGCCGGGCCGCGGCCCCGGGCGCCAGGACGTAGACCAGGTCACCGCGCACGGCGTGGACGGCAGCGTCGCCAAAGACGGCCCCAGCCCCCAGGCCCAGGCAGTTCACCACCACGTCGGCGCCGGAATTCGCCGCCAGCACCGCCACGTCTGCGGGCCCGGCCAGGTGGCGCTGCTGCAGCCGCACGCCGGGCAGTGCGCCCAGGGACTCCGTGAGCCAGTCGAGGTAGCGGCGCATGTTGATCACCGGGGCTGCGTACGAGAAGCAGTACTCGAAGGTGGCCTCGCGCACGAGCCCAGCGGGAGGCGCCCCCTCCTGGAAGAAGGGCACATCGGCGCTCCAGGCGGCGACGGCGAGGGGCAGCGATCACGGGGGGGGAAGCTGGCTCAGGGAAGACTCCTCCTCTTCCTCCTCCTCCTCCTCCTCCTCCTCCTCCTCCTCGGCCTCCTCCTCCTCCTCCTCCTCCTCCTCCTCCTCCTCCTCCTCCTGGGCTTCCTCCTCCTCCGCCTCCTCCTCCTCCTCCACCTCCTCCTCGCTGACCTGCAAATCGGCGACACGTCGGCGACACATCGGCGATGTTGCGCCCTCGATGGCGTGCCGCCACGCGTTCCTGGGCAGGCTGGGGCGCCTAGACGCCCCGCTCGGCGAGGGGGATGGGCAAATTTTCCACCACTACATCCACATGTAGGACGGGAGGAAAGGGAGGAGAAGGCTCCTCCTCCTCTTCCTCCTCCTCCTCCTCCTCCTCCTCCTCCTTTTCCTCCTCCTCCTCCTACCCCTCCCCCCCCTCCTCCTGCTCCTCCTGCTCCTCCTCCTTCTCCTCGTCCTCGTCCTCGTCCTCCTCCTCCTCCTCCTCGTCCTCCTCCTCCTCCTCCTCCTCCTCCTCCTTCTCCTCCATTCGTCCTCATTTCTAGTTCGCGCGCGCGGAGCGGCCCCTGGGGGCCCCCGGACGAAAAGTACCCCGGCAAGGTCCCGGGAGAAGCCACCAGAGCACTCCAGGGGAGGGCCATTTTTCGACACCCCTCACGAGGATCGTGGCCTCCGAGGGGGGAGCCGCAATCGACTACCCTCCCTCCCGCCCCAAGAGGCCCCCAAAAGCCCCCCAAGAGGCCCTGGGGGCCCCCAAGACGCCGCCAAGGAGCCCCGAGAGACTCCCAAGAGGTCCCCAAGAGGCCCCCAAGAGGCCCTAAAGAGGGCTCCAGGGCCGGTGGAATGAGCGAAGCGATTGATCATTTGTCCCTGTCGCACCCCGAGGCCAGCTTTTAGGGCGGGCCGGGCGTTTCGCCTGAGATGTCCTCACCATTTATGACCCTGAAGCTTTAAACATGACAACGGTTTCACGGATTGAGAGCGGGTGGTTTTCACAATGAGGCTCTCGCCGTAGCGCCGCGCACATTCGTTTTAACAAATTGCAAGAGCTTCACGGATTGAGGGCGGGCCGTTTTCAACATGTGGCTTTCGCCTGAGCGCCGCGCACATTCGTTCTACTTTCACAGCTGCAAGAATTTCACGGATTGAGGGCGGGCCGTCTTGAACATGTGGCTTTCGCCTGAGCGCCGCGCACATTCGCTTTAAAACTTTACAAGAGTTTCACGGATTGAGGGCGGGTGGTTTTCAACATGTGGCTCTCGCCAGAGCGCCGCGCATATATCGGTTTCAAACGTTGCAGGAGTTTCACGGATTCCCATGATCAGCGCGTACCAAAAATGGGTTGTCTGGAAGGATTCAGGATTAGAAGGGTGCAGCATTTACGTTGACTCGTTGTGTTGAAGTCTCAGGAATGGTGTTGTGGCGCGATTCAAGATCGTCACGACGCAACAGTCAGGTTGATCCGTGGCGTTGAAATCCCGAGAACATTGTTTAGGCATGGTTCAGGGTCTTCAAACAGTTATCTTCCAACGAGGCAATTCCCCCCTGTGGAAATGAACCGTTGGAGGGGGCTATGAAGAGGGAGCTTGGGGCTCATTCCATCATCGTTGATGACTCTTCGGTTTCCACTGGTCCTCCTCCTCCTCCTGCTCCGCCTCCTACTCCTCCTCCCCCGCCCCCTCCTCTTCCGCCTCCTCCTTCTCCTCCTCCTCCTCCTGCTCCTGCTCCTGCTCCTGCTCCTGCTCCTCCTCCTCCTCCTCCTCCTCCTCCTCCTCTTCCTCCTCCTCCTCCTCCTCCTCCTCCTCCTCCTCCTCCTGCTCCTGCTCCTGCTCCTCCTCCTCTTCCTCCTCTTTCTCCTCCACCTCCTCCTCTTCCTCCTCCACCTCCTGCTTCTCCTCCCTCTCCTATCTATGATAGTGGTGGTGGAAAATGGGCCCACCAGAGACGGTGAGCGCTCGGGGGCCTGGGCTCCCCCCTGAGCCAGCCTTGGGGCAAACGGTCACCAATACCGCTGCTCCCTGGACCTGTCCTGGGCTGCCTTCTGACCAAGACCTCGAGAATCCACCCAGGGCAACGAGAACTCGCAAGTACGAGCAGCGGTATCGGTGTCTCTTGCTCCTCTGAAGTCTCCCCCCCCCTCCCAGAGATTCGACGTAGCGACCAAATCTCACCAGCCCTCTAGGGCGTGAGTGGACTAACGAGCTCGTTCTGCTAGCCCCCCTCTTGCCCTTCGAGGGGGTCTTCCCTCCCCCTCCCCCCCTCCCCCCCGGGTCTGGACCCCCCCCCGCGAGGTGCCAGAGGATCCTTTTTGGCCCCAGACGGCCCCAAGACGGCCCCAGCCCAGGATGGTCTCCACGATCGCTCGAGATGTCCCAAGATGGCTGAAGATAGCCTCCAATATGCCTCTCGGCGGCGAGCGAGCAGGGAAGTGAGAAGGAGAAGGCCTTCTCAGAAGGTTCGGAAGTCCCCTGACCTTCTGAGAAGTTTCCTAAGTCTTCCCCGAAGACAAACACAAACTTCTCTGAAGGGGCCCAGGGACACACAAATGATTACACACACAAATCCTAGGATTCCCAATCTTTTTCCATATGTTTGGGATTTTCGTCTTCCCCCCCACTTCCCATATGTTCTCACCTTTTCCCAGGAGCCGACGATTAATTAGGTCTGTGTGTTGTTCCCCTCCTGATGCTCCTTCTGACTTCCCCCCCCTCGCTCGCCGCCGAGCCTCCCCGAGCCCTCAAGATCGCCCTGGGACGGCCCCGAGTGCCCTCCGAGCCTCCCGGGGAGGCCCCCTAGGAGCCATTTTTTCTTCAAGCCCACCCCGTTCTTCAATGTTGAAGGGGCCCTGGGACACACAAATAGATACACACAAATAAAAAGGTTACCCATATTTACACATCTTTTCTGGGTTTTTGTCTTCCCGCCCAATTCCCATATTTTCCTATATTTTCTTCGGGATCGACGATTAATTGTGTCTGTGTGTTTTTTTCCCTCCTGAAATGTGGTCTGCCGTGTCGCCACTTCGCTCCCGATGGGCTCAGGAGGGCACGGGCTCCGAGGTGGCCCAAGAAGGCCCCCCCCCTGGGAGGGGCCCAGGAGGGCCCGAAGGACGGCCCCACGAGCGCCTCGGAGGCTCCCCACGAGCGCCCTAAGAGGTACATGTTCGGGCCCAGGCAGGGGGGCCGCACTCGAGCACCCCCAAAGCCTCCAGGAGGGCGCCCAAGAAAGCGCCACGTGGGCCCCGGGAGAGCCCCCAGAGGTCCCCCAGAGGCGTCCCAGAGGGCCTCGGGAGGCCTCCGAGAGGGCCCCAAGAGGGCCCCAGGATGGCCCCCACGATGGCCCTCCACGCTGTCCTGGATGCGTGGTTGCCTGCTGCCTCCTGCTGGGACACATGGCGCCACACGTCCCTGATCACGACAACTCGCCTGATGTCTGTTGGGGATACCCTGATCGAAACCGGGCAACGCACGCCCGGCTCGGAGCAGTTGAGGCGCCAGGATCTCGGGGCCGTCGCTGCCCCCCGGATGGGGCCGTACCGCTCCTCGGCGTTCGCGCGGGACCGGAAGCAGTAGTACGACCTGCGAGGGGCTCGAAGTATACACCAAGTCGTCTGGTCGGCCAAGGAGCTCGGTGTATAGACTTGGCGGCGCGCAGAGGGGGGTAGGGGGAGGGGGGAAGGCTTCTTAGAAGCACCCCTGCTTCTTAGAAGGTGCGGGCCTTCTCTGTAGATGTAAGGCCGGCGCCTTCTAAGAAGCAGCCTCCTTCTAAGGAGCCTTACCCCCTCCCCCTACCCCCTTCTGCTCGCCGCCAGTAGACGCCCCCATTTCCCACCCTGAGGGGCCCTGGAGCGTCTGTACATCGGATGCCTTCGCCGAGTGCACTAGCGCCTTGGCAGTCTTAGCTTGAGGCATAACAAGACTGCATTAAGCATATATTATCAGAGGTCCGCGTGGATTCCTTGGATCGGCGCTGGATTCCCCTTCCTGACGCGCGGAGCGTGCCAGGGGCGGCGCTAGAGGCGCCGCCAGGAAGGCCCCCGCACCGATCCGAGAAATCCGCGCGGACCTCCGAGATGTTGTGTCTGCTTATGAATAGCTTCGTTTTTCGATGACCCGCTCCTTGGCCGACCGTCTCAGAAGGTTCGGAAGTCCCCATGGCCTTCTGGGAAGCTTGCCAGGTCTTCCCCGAAGGACGCAGAAGTCTCCCCAGAAGGCGCGAGGAAGGTTTCTGAGAAGCCTGGTGGAAGCGAGAAGGGGCAGGCCTTCTTCAGACGTCGAAGAAGAAGAAGAAGAAAAAGAAAACATGCATGAACATAAACGTTCGGCGCTCCGCGCGGATTTCTTGGATTTGCGCTGCCCCCCCCCCCCCTCCCTGGCGCGCGGAGCGCGCCAGGGGTCAGGGGGGCCCAGCGCGGCTCCGTGAAATCTGCGCGGAGCGCCGAACGTTTACATTATTGTGATTCCTTCTTCTTCGACGTCTGAAGAAGGCCTGCCCCTTCTCGCTTCCCCCCCGGGCTTCTCAGAAACCTTCCTCGCGCCTTCTGGGGAGACTTCTGCGTCCTTCGGGGAAGACCTGGCAAGCTTCCCAGAAGGCCATGGGGACTTCCGAACCTTCTGAGAATAGGGGAACAACAAGTGACATAAACATAAAAACTCGGAGGTCCGCGGGGATTTCTCGGATCGGCGCTGACCCCCCTTCTTGGCGCGCGGAGCGCGCCAGGGGCGGCGCAGGAGGCGCCGCCGAGGGGCCCCAGCGCCGATCCGAGAAAACCGCGCGGACCTCCGAGTTGTTATGTTTATGTAATTTTTTGTTCCCCTAAAGAAGGCCCGCCCCCTCTCACCTTACCCCCGAGCTCGCCGCCCATCGCTCCCCCCCTGGGCTCGCCGCCGCATCGAGCCGCGCTGCGACGACCTGCCGATGCGCACCCCGCTCCTCGCCGGGCCGGCGGCGGCGAGGGCCGCGGCGAAGCACGGCAGGGACTCCAGGACCCACCTCTGGGCCTCTGCCTGCGAGGGCCGACGCCAGGCAGAGCAGGGGCGGATCGAATTCGCGAGATCGGGTCGGATCGGGAAACGGACGGGGTGGCCAGCGAATCGTTCAGAATCGGATCGAGAGCGGATCGGCGCGCCTGGCTCAGGCTGGCCTCGATCGGTGCCAATGGGACGACACGGATCGGAATCGCGGCCCTGGTCGGCGAATCGACTCGCATCGAATCGCACCGTGGGCGGCCTTCGAGAGGGGGGGCCAGCTCCAGGGGGCACCAGCTCAAGCTTCGAGGTTCGAGGCTGGGAACCGCGGTCAATTTGTCGGCGATAGCCCAGGCTACTCCAGATTTCATGATAAAAGGGAGGGGGTCACAACCCTCCCAGACGAGAAATTGTAGCCCCCCCAGACCATCCATGAAAGGGCGGCCCATTGCCCAGATCCCCCCCGAACCCTCCAAGACACCTCAAATCAGACCCCCCCAAATGTAACCCCCCCTCACTTTATCATGGAATCCGGAGCACCCGGTGGGGAGGGAGGTGCCGGCCGATAGCCTAGCTGTTTCGCTTCGGGGCAGTTCCAGGTATGCCCGCGCTCGCCAGTCCTGAGCGCCCCGTTGGCATAGGCCTGGTCTACTTGGACCAGATTCAGTGATCTGTGCTTGGGGGCGCACCCCCCGCCCCACTCCACTGACCGAGCCGCCGTCGCGCGAAAAACACCAACTACGACAGACCTGGTGTAGTGACTCCGACAAATGTTGGGAGCTCGGGGCCCTATCAACAACCAGTTCCCCTCAGCTGGGGTCCTGGCTGTACCCGAGCAGGGGAGGACCAGCTGAAGGTTCGAGGTTTGAACCTTTCAGACGTTTTCTTTTGGTTGGGGCCGAGAGGTTTGAACCTTTCAGACGTTTTCTTTGGTTCTGGCCGACTTTCCAGCAGCTGTGCCTCGCCGAGAGCGTCACGGGCTTCTCGCAGCGTCCCGAACGGCCGCCGGAGGCCCGAACCATTACCCGAAAACCACCAGGGGACCAGCTCGGGGGGGAGACGTCGGCCTGTCATCGGCGGAACATCGCCAATAGATCGGCGATAGGCCCCCGATGGCGAAGTCGCATGGCCCCCCCCACATATATATATATATATATATAATATATATATATATAATATGTGTATGTATATATATATATACAGATCGGCGATCAACGGGCGATTCGGGGTCGATGCTTGCCCCCCTGAGCCTATCCCCCCCTGACGTTGCCCCTGACCGTAGAGGGCGAAACAATCCGCCGACCCTTCGGCGTGCAAGACGCTGACGCCGTCGTCGTCGTCGTCGTCGCAGTCACTGGCTCCTCTTCCTCCTCCTCCTCCTCCTCCTCCTCCTCCTCCTCCTCCTGCTCCAGCGCGCCAGCCACAGCGAAACCGAACCGAAACTTCAAGCGCGTCAGCCAAAGCTAAAAGAAACCGAACTTAAGCAACGTCGCAGTTGACTCGAAGGGAAGCCCCTTCTCTGTCATCCCACCCCCCCGGGGGGAGGGGGGGTCCCAGAGGGATGGAGGGGGGGGGTCCCGAATCAGAATACCAAGCTCCCACGTCGGGTCCTGGGGACCCAAAATGGCCCCAAGACAGCCCACGAGGTTCCCAAGACGGTCCACGAGGGCCCCGAATCGCCGAATGATCAGTGCAAGACGCGAGAAACGGCCTCCTCATAGCCCAAGCGGCTGTCAAGACGCTCGCAGAGGCCTCCCAGAGCACACCGAAAGTTTTTTTTCCTTCAACAATGCCGCGGCAGAGATCGTCGAAGAAGCTGCGGTCTGTGCAGCAAAGACATCCGGAACCACTGTCGTGTCCCGGTCCGTGCCCGCGCCCAAAACTGCCCATGGGACTTGCTCTCCCAGCTGTGCTGCGGCGGTGGGGACGTCACTCTGCCTAAGCATGAGCACGCGCCTAACAGGCTCCTTCGTCAGAGATGCCGCGCTTGCGGCGACCGCAGCCTCGCTGCTTGCCGCGATGACGTGCCAGGCGGAAAGGGATTGCCGGATCGCAAGGGCATGCAACAACATGGCGTATGTGCAGGTCAGGACTCAGCAGCTGTCCGGCGCCGTCGGCGACAACGTCTCGTCCTCAGAGGCCTGAAAGCGGCATGAGCCTGTCAAAATGGAAGCCATGTTGCCCCGAAGTGGAGACGTGAATTCCTCTGCATCTCACGCCAGCAGCACGGTCGGAGTCAGCCTGGCCGACTAGAAGAGGTCCGACAGGTCCAGCGGGGCCGGGAAGTCTGGCGCCACGTTCCCCATGGCCTGCGCCATCTGGGCCTGAACGCGCCAGTTGTCCACTTTGCCGGCGTGCTCAGCCTTCGCGCGCTCCACTTTCGCCATTGTAACTGGCGCCTTGTTCGCGCTGACGCTGATCGGGATGCGCGGAGGCATGCCGCCGATCGGCAGGTGGAACGCGTTGATCTCTGAGGCGACGGCGCTAGAAAGCCCGACGGACGCGATGTCAGGGAGAGCGGCCGGCGTAACCGCCTCAACCCCAGCAGCACGGTACGCATTCAAGGAGGACTCCCCCTGAGCGAAGCCGAGCACAAATTCGTTTACGTAGTCTTTCTGGAGCCTCGACGCGGCCCTGGCACGCAGGCGGCTGCATTTGACGCCTCCAGCGGAGGCCCAGCCTTTCAACCAGCCTGCACGGTATGCCACCGTTGGGCCCACGGCGCAGTCTGCAGACAGCTCCGCCAGCTCCGCGTAGGATTTCGTGCGCACCCATTCGAAGACTGCTGTCAATCGGGCGTCGGTCGACGTCGCGACCGCCTACTTGCGACGCAGCGTTCCGGAATTCGACGCGGATCGCTCCCAGCGCGTCTAATCCAGACCCCGTACTGTCTTTGAGCGGGGCCCGGATATGCAGCAGCGGAAAACCCATCGCGTCGTGCACTTCGGCTGCCGTCTCACCCGTCAAGAAAGACTTAATGCGCTCTGCCGGAATACTGTGAAGCGCACGGTGCAGCACGAGGGTCTTGAGCTCCGATTGGCTAATCCCGGCTGCCGTGCAGATGGGCCGCCAGGACTCTTCGAATTTGTCCCACACTGCAGCAACCTTCTCGTTCGCCGGATCGTAGTGATGCCCATCTGCGACGAGCTGGGCGCCGACGCACCACAGCGCAACCAGGGCCAGGCGTTGCCCAGCGCGCTCGTTGATCAGCGCTTGCAGCGTCCCCGCGACAGCGTCGTCGATTGCCTGAAAGTCAAGCATAAACCATCCAGATGGTATGCCCGACACAGCAGCGGTGAGTGGAGCAACGGGCCCAGACGTCCCGCCCGGCGGAGTGGCAACCCACCCAGCGGCGGCGTACGCCGACACGTGGGCGGGGACCCAGCCAATTAAGCCCTGGGACAAATCGACCACTGCATAGCGCAAGGTCTCGTCCTTGTTGACAGCGCCTGTCCCCAGGTAGTAGCGCACATAGCCCTCGATGGACTTTTGTACCACCAGGCCCGCCTGGGTTGCCACCTGGCCAGCGTTCGTGCCGCGCCCCGACACGCCGTGAGCGTACGGGATCGGGGTGAGGCTGCGATCCACCGCGAGCGTCAGCAGCACAGCAAACTTGAGCACGTCGCCTGCGAACGGGACAAAGTCCTTCAGCCACTCCGCGCTGCGGACTGGACCCCGAGTCCGGTTCACATTGGTGTGCCCGCCCGGACCCTCGATCACGCCATTGTGGACGAACTGTACAGTGTCAGCCTCCTCGAGAGGCAGCGCAGCCAGCGCGGTCGGGGTAACTGTCGAGCGAGCCGCAGCACCAGGGAAGTCGACGGTCGGCGGCCTGGCTGCAGCCATGGGCGCAACTGCAGCTCCGACGCGAAAGAAAGCACAGGCAGTAACGGAACCCTTTCGCCCCTCTGGAGCCGTAGGACAACAACGCGGCCACGCTCCAAAACCTCCCAACCATGCTCTATGAACTGCTTCAAAAATGCGTCTTTGATCACGAGTGCTATGCCCCCGCTATACTGGTCCAGGAAAGAACTGAAATACGAAGTACCGTTTGGCAGATAATCTGAAAGAGCGGTTTTGCGTTCCTCGGTCTCCCTCGTCTCCGACAGGCCGACGAAGTCGTGGGACCCGCGCAACGACAGAACGTGCCTGATAGTGTCAGGCTCGTCGTAGGCATACAAGGAACGGCAGTTCCAACCTGCCCCCGCGAATGCATCAATGAATGGAGTTGCCAATGTAGATGAGCTTGCTAATGGACTAGAAGATCTTGAAGAAGAGCTGGAAGAAGAGGACGATGAGCCAGAGGAAGACGAGGAATAATCGCCTGTGGGAGATCCAACTGGAATCTGAGGGAGACAATGGCGAGCAACAGCACGACGGCGAAGATGGAAGCCATGTGCTGGAACCTTCTGAGGGCCTGAACTACTCCATTCGGTACGGTGCCTCATGCCGACACGTTTTGGATCCTACTCGTCATCATCTCGCCGCCCTACTCGTTCAAGCACACCGAGAGGGCCCCAGCAAGCAAAATTCCATGATTCGCCTGTGGGTTTTGAAAGATACTTGTGTTCTCACCTTTTCGGCTTCCCGACGCTCCAAGACGGTCCAAAATACCACCAATATCGGCACAAAGGGCCCCCAAAATATTCACAGACGGCCCCAAACCGACTCAAGAGGGCTCCAAGATGGCCCTAGAAGCCTCCCAGACGGCCCCAGAGGCCCCCAAAACGGCTGCAGGAGGGTGCCCACAGGGAAGTCCGAGCGAACATTTCGAGCCCTCGGCCCCGAGAAACTTCTAGGAAGCCCGAAGAGACCCCAAGCCGCTCCCAAGAGGCCCGCAAGATGCTCCCAAGAGGCCCCCAACTACCCCCCAGAGGCATACTAGCGCGCTCCGATGAGGCGCCACGAAGCATCCCTGATTCTGCTTCACGTCAGCGCCGTCGCCGTCGTCGTCGTCGCCGCCGCCGTCGTCGTCTTCGTTGTCGTCGTCGTCGTCGTCGTCGTCGTCGTCGTCGTCGTCGCCGTCGTACTCGCCGTCGCCGTCGCCGTCGCCGTCGCCGTCGTCGTCGTCGTCGTCGTCAAAATCGGCGGCACCAACCGCAGGGCCTTCCCAATACGTAAACCTACGCTTTCGGAGCTCCGCGTGGACTTCTGGGATCGGCGCCGGACCCCGCTCCCTGGCGCGCGGAGCGTGCCAGGGGGCGCCGCCAGGGAGGCCCCGGCACCGGTCCGAGAAATCCGCGCGGACCTCCGATGCATGATTTATACTCATGCAGAATTAACTCTCCAGTGATCGGCTCCTTGGCCCACCGGTCGCCGTGGCGAATGCCTCGAGCGCCGCTCTGAGAAATCCGCGCGGCGCGCCGATGACTTGTCCATATGCCGTTTGCTGTTCTTCTAAGAGGATGAGAAATACTAATTAGAGTAATGGTAAAGAAGATAATAATGGTAGTAGCAACATCATAAGAATAATGATAATAAGAAGAGAAAGAATAAGAAGACGGCATAAGCATAAACTTTTGGCGCTCCGCGCGGATTTCTTGGATCCGCGCTGGACCCTTTTCCCTGGCGCGCGGAACGCCGCGCCAGGGGCGGCGCCGGAGGCGCCGCGGGGGGGGGCCCAGCGCGGATCCAAGCAATCCGCGCGGAGCGCCCCACAGTTTATGTTTGTGCCGTTTTTTCCTTGATCTTCGGCGCCTGCGGCTGGACCTCGAAGGGGGGGTACTCCCAGATGGCGCCGGCACCGGCCGACGTGGTCTGCGACAGCCAGCCGTCGGCACAGACAGTCGCCGGCGCTCCAGAGGGGGCAGGGCGAGGAGGGCGGCCTTCTGAGGAGGCACGGGGGCTCGAGGTCTGCAGGTACAGTGGGGGCCAGTCCACAAGAAACCTTCCAGAATAGAAGAAATCAAAACAAAAATCAGAACTAGTGAAAAAAGAAGACGACAAATCGTCTCCCGACTATTGCTCGACTATTCTTGAATATTCCTGCTGTAGAGGGACATGCCCGACCTGAGACTACCTGGAGGGGCTGTCTGCGCAACCTGAAGCCATACTGTAGGAGCTCGACCACAAGAGATCTCCCACAGGAAACCCAGCCCTGAGACCCCAGGCCTTCCATGGATTCTTGGCGTGGGAAAGCCACGCTCTCCACAGCAGAACCGTCGAAACCCGGGAGAAGCCCAAGAAACACCCGGAAGGCAAGCAGGGTGTCTCTTGGCACGGGCCTCCGCCGTGCTCGGGGCCCCAAGAGCCGTGCGGGTGCTGGACCGCGCGGCGGCCTCGAAGGCCGCCGCCGCTCGAGGCGCGTCGATCGGAGCACGGCAGGGGTCCAAGAACCGTGTGGTGACCCCGAATGCCCGCTGACTCATTACTCCAGATTTCGTAATAGAGGGAGGGGGGTCTCATTTCGGGGGAGGTCTCTTCCAGGCTATCTTGGAGGGCCTGGGGGGGTCTGGGGACGATGTTTTGGAGGGTTCTCCCACGGGGGAGGTCTGAAATGGCTTGTCTTGGAGGGTCCAGACCCCCTCCCTTTTATTACGAAATCTGGAGTACGCGGCGTGGTCACCACATCGGCTGGAGGCCTGCTATATGTTGGCACCAGCGCCAAGGCAGGGGGCTGCCTCCACTGGGGGAGGATGATCTCAGACTTTGGTGCTGGCGGCAACCTGTCGGCCACCTAGAAGGCCCCCACAGTGCCACCTTCACCGAGATCTAGATCTCCGTCCCCGTGGAGGCAACACCCGATATTCTTGTAGGTGCCAACCGCTAGTCGGTACGGCCGGAAAAAAACGAGGTGCGGACAGAGTAGGGACCAAGACCAACAGCAGATGGTGTCCACTTGGGACATGACTCGCTGTCGATGTCGCCGCGACCGTTGCCAACTTATGACAAACAATCGCCTGCCCGACAGCTTTGGATGCCCGACATTGATGCGGAAACGTGGGTACGATGCCCAACAGCAGATGCTGTCCAATACCGACAGCGGCCGCTGTCAGACCACAACAAGAGGTTCTCAGAACATTCCCTGATGGGCCTACAAGCGAGCGAGGACGGCCCGCCACTGCTTGAGTGATACGAGCGTTCGTGCAATGCGCACTCTCGGAACTCAAAACCAACTTGGCGGTGCGCACATTGGGGTGCAGGGATGGGGAGAGGGCTTCTTAGCAGGAGTCTGCTTCTCAGAAGGCGCCGGCCTCGCATCTATGGATGAGGCCCGCGCCTCCTGAGAAACAGGAGTGCCTCTCAGAAGCCCTCCCCCCTCCCCCCCCAACCCCCCCCCTGCGCGGCGTGACTGCAGTGCAGCTGCGCCCCTCCCTCGCTCCGGGGGCAGCACGAGGCTCGGCAGCGAGGGCCAAAGGCTCGGCGCCGCTCTGCGGGGAGGGCCCCCCCCCCCCCCCCGCGGGCGGTCGGGCCCTCCGGGGGAGGCCGAGGCCCGAGGCTCGGCGCCGCTCTGCGGGGAGGGGCCTTTCCCCCAGGCGGTCGGGCCCTCCAGGGGAGGCCGAGCACCACCCCGCCCCGCCCTCCTCGCCCCGCCGCCCGCCGCGCGCCGGCCCTGCCTGGCCCAGGCCTCCGGGCGCGCCGCGGCCCCCTCGCGCCGCGTGCCCCTCAGGGGGGCCCTTCGCCCTCGGCGCCCCCCCGGGGGGGGGGGGGCCGCCTGCGAGCCCGCGGGCGAGGCGGGAAGTCCATCCACGTCCATCGACCCCGAGAGGCGGCGTCCTGGCGCCCCTGCGGGCGGTGGATGACTCTGGATATGTGTTGGCCCACGGGGGCCCGAATAGTCCACATCCACTGCCTGTGAAGGTCTGGGAAGATCGATCCCGCAGGTGGTGGTTATGGCTACATCCCCGCCCCGGAGTCTGACGAGCTACCAGACCACCCCAACCCAACCCGAAGACCCCAACTCCGGGTTGTGGGGGGGTACGGGTTCCACATGTGATTTTTGTCAACGTTCCCCGACGCCCAACCCCTCTCCCAATGGGAGTGGAGGGCAAATCGGGGGCCTTCGCGTTGGGTTGGGGTGGTTTGGTGGGTGGTGAACGTGCGCAAGGGGGGGGAAGCGGGGCTCGAGCTAGACCGTGCTCTCCGTTTTCATTGTGTTACCGTCTTCCCTCGTCCCATCCTCCTTCCGCCTTAGCTGCAAAGCGAGATCGGAACGAAAACGGTGCACGAACCCGCCAAAGCACCGTTCCGCTCGAGCTCCCACAGAGGGCGGCGAGGCTCTTCAGAGAAGTCCCCTGGCCTCCTGAGGAGCCGCCTTCGTCTTCGGAGCAGGCCTTTATAGCGGGCAGAAGATCCACCATCACAACAAGTCAACATTTTTTAATTCGGCGTTTCGACATTGGGCGGAACGGGGGGGTAGGGGGGGTTGGGTCTGGCTCCAGACCTCTGCTTAGTGCGACTGTTTGGTGCAGTGCGTCCTACGGGGGAGACCCCACCTGCTTGAAACAGGCGCCAAAAACAGCCAAGATCCACTCCATGGGGGGGGAGGTACGAGGGCCCACGCCAATCGGCAAAACAACGAATCAGAAAACGATCACAAATCACCCCGACGCGCGAAGGCGTTTCGCAAACGCACCCAGAAGGAATCGGACGGGGCAAGGCTGTGTAGTAAACGCCCAGGGCCGTTTCGTAAAAGCCAACTGTCGGGTCCGGGTGCTTTTGTCCTCCCTTGATTCAGGTCGGGCATGTCCTCCTTCAGGCGGATTTTGGACGATTTTTGTTGTAGTCGAAACATACTCAACAAATATTCAAATATTTTTGTTTTCCCAAGCGCGATCGCTGCCTCGGAACGCCTGCGCTACGTCAGCACCGCTCGCAGGTAAGAGGAACTCGCAGGAGCAAAGTGCACGCGGGGAACGCAGCGGAGGAGGGAGGAAGGGGAAGACAGCACAAATGGAGTCAACAAATATTCATAAATAATCAAAAGATCGTCCCCAGACTATTTTTTGACTATTTCTGCATTTTCCCCCTGCAGAGGAACCGGCCCGCCTTTAACCCTTGACTTCAGACACCTCCTTTGGACGGCCGCGGGCCCTCCGAGCCCTCCAAAGAAGCCCCGCCCCCTCTGGCCCAGCCAGGGGCCCCCGGGCCCCGGAGAAGCGCTCCCCCCCCCAAGGCCGCGGGCGATGTCGCGGAAGAGGCCGGCTCGGCGCCAGGGAGGAGGGCTCGGCTCCCGGAGGTCTGGGCCGGGGATGCTGCGCTGCATCTTCGGGGGGGGATCTTGTATGGAGCCTGTATTTTTTGATTTCGATTCGGGCAAGTTCACTTGCATGGCGTTCGCCCCCCCGCACTCCCCCTCCCCCCCCTCGCCCCTCTCCAGACCTCTTCAGACGAATTTTGGCGTGCAAGTGCCTTTCGCCTTGCGTGATTTCCGCGCGTGCCGGTCGTTTGCGGCTTGCTTCAGGTTCAGCCCCCCCCCCCTTCCCGCGACCATGCAAGTAGTAAACTTGCTGGGATCTAGAAAAAACAGGCTCCTTGTATGGTCCCATCGCGTCGCTGCTCGCGCCCACGCTGCATCGGATCCGACATCAACTCCGCGTCGAATCAGGCGCCGAGCCCGCGCTGGACATGAGAGAAGACCGCCGCTTACAGGACAGACAAGGCCCCCCGAAGGGACCCTTTCCGAACCCATCCGGCATCTGAACCTATCCGGCCGCCCAGGAGACCACAGAACGGGGGCAACTCCAACAAGAGGGCACGAATCTGGCCCGTTCGGCTGCCGAACGACCCCAGGTCCGCTCGGCGGACCAATTAGCTCAGACGCCGAACGGGCTCAGAAGGGAGCCCACAGCCCCTGCCACGTAAACGGGAGACTCCTATTCTGTCCTGGTGCGGGGGTTCCACGCGGATTCTCGGACGCCACGTGGCCTCGACGCGCGAACAACGACGCGCCCGAATCTGCAGCGCGAGAGATGAGCACGTCCCAGCCGCGCTCCTGGGGGTGGGGAGACTATCCCACACCAACGCGGAACCTGACCAGTCGCGTCCTGGGCCCCAGGCTCGGTGCGCACGCCCTCCCTGTCTTGGTCAAGGAGGCATGCGCGCCCTCCTGGGGCACAGCAGGGCCCCGGCCAGGATCGGCGTGCGTGTAATATTCAGAAGGCGCTCCTGGGAGCCGTTCGTTATCACCTGAGTGGCCGCAGTAGCTCCTCCAGTGGCCACCTTTGGACCCCAGCGGCCCCCCGCAAGCCTGGAGCCGCCTCCAGTGTCTCCTCCAATGGCCCCCCCGCGGCCTCCAATGGCCTCCAGTGGCCTCCCGTAGCCCCCAGTGGCCTCCAGTGGCGCGAGCAAAACGACTGTGGACCCCTGGAGGGGCAGGAGAGCCAGGCCAACTGACAATAAGAGGCTCCCAGGATCGCCTTCTGAATGTATACAGTCGAAACACGGCCACGAGAACGTGGGTCAAGCACACAAGCCCAGAGCCACCCTGCATCCGTGGTGTCGCGGCACACGAGTCCAGACGGCGAGGCACTGGGTATCGACGTGCAAGGCCGCCTACGGCGTCAGCACAACAGAAAACGGGCCATGCGAGGAGGAGGAGGAGGAGGAGGAGGAGGAGGAGGAGGAGGAGGAGGAGGAGGAGGAGGAGGAGGGAGGAGGGAGGACGGAGGAGGGGGGAGGAGACGGATGAGGAGGAGGAGGAATGGACTGTTTGAAAATTCGTGACATGAATATTGAGAATTGTTTGAAACTTCGTGACATGAATATTGAGATCGGTTGTGAGGCCGATCGCGAGATCGATAGTGGGATCCATAGTGAGGACGATAATAAGGTCGATCATGAGGCCGATAGTCGATTAAGTGAGATCGATCGTGCGATCGCTCGTGCGATCTATAGAGAGAGAGAGAGAGAGAGAGAGAGATCGATTGTGATATCGATAACAAGATCGATTCTGAGATCGATAAAGAGGTGGGCAGTGAGATCGATGGTGAGACCGATCGATAAAGAGATCGACCAAGAACCAAAGAACCCGGGAACCCCGCCGCCCACCGAACTCGGCCCGGAACTAGCAACCGGGAACCGGCCAGGGAACCCAGAACTGAGGAACCCGGCCGCCTACCGAAATCGGCCGCCCACTTTCGCCAAATCCTTCCAGATCTGCTAGGACCCCTTCAGTGCAAGCACTGATTGGGCAACATAGTCAAAAAGAGCACGAGACAGACATCGTCACCAGATTATGCTTTTACCATTCTTTTGGATACTCCTCCTGTAGAGGGACATACCCGGCTTAACCCCCAGAGCCACAGCCCGCACGCCTGCCACTTCTCGGGAGCGGCCAAGAGGGGGGGCGCAAATCATGACTGGCGGCATGTGCGCGGCCCAGCGGGGGGGCCAGGGACGTAATGAAATAAGAAGAGGCGCCATGAACTCTGGGGAAATATCATGGCCCCCGCCATGAAATCCACCCCCCCCTAGTCATCACCCCCCTCTTATCCGCTCCAGAACTTCGTCTGACCCGACATCTGAGCGAGGATCAAAAACGGGCCTTACGCGAGATGGCACGGCGACCTCACGCGGCGGCTCACGCGGGCCGCCGGCGGGGCACGCCACGCTGGAGGCGAGGGCGCTGTCGCGCGAGCTTGCGCGGGCAGCTAGCGCGCCAACGTTGGCACAGACGGCCCCGCTTTTTGGCGTCGCTCCTCTGGGTGCGCCCAATAAGGGGGGCCGGGAGGCGGTGCCAGGTGCGCGGAGCGGACGAGGTGGGGACCAGGGCGATGAGCGGACGAGGTGGGGGGCAGGGGGATGCGTTGAAAGGAAAGTCGGGCAGGGACCGACCGTCGTGGCATTCCTCTAGGCCTACCACGACATGTTCACAGAACCCAAACATGTCCTAAGAACAGAAGCAATGTCCTCAGAACATGAGCCCGATGTCTCAAAGCAAGACGGGCTCAGCCAGACACGTTCGGACAACATGTCGTGCAGACCACAAGAGGTTCTTAGAACATTCTTTGGTGGGCCTATAGGCGAGCCAGGACGCTTCGCCACTGCTCGAAAGGAGAGGGGGCCATGAACTCTGGGAGATCTCATGGCCCCAGCCATGATTCCCCCCCCCAGCAACGTCCCCAACCCCCCTCTTAACACGCTCCCGAGAATTTGGCGGACCCCCCAATGGATGCCTCCCACGTGGGGTCGGAGTAAATGAGGGATCGCGCCGCATCGCCGACGCATCGGTGACGTCAATGATACATCGGCAGCGTGGAAAGAAACGGGCTCCACATCGAGCCGCCTCGTCGATGCATCGGCGATGCGGCGCGATCCTCCGACCTCGTTTGGCGACACGCAAGAGTGACGAGTGGCCCTAGGCCAGAGTGCCCTTTGGCACGCGACTTTCGGAGGCCGCGGGGAGGCCGAACCCGAGCGCACAAACCGCTGCTATCACATCGCATTCAACCATCTGGGGGCTCCAATGTGCCTGCACTACAGGTAACTCTGGCGATGGGTCACTCTTATGTAAAGTTGGCCCATCTAATCCGACCCCGTCTGGGAGGCCTAGATTCAGTAAGCTCAGAAAGGGGGATGAAACCAAATCCGCGCAACGTCGGTTAAGTCGTCTGCGCAAGATCTATCACTTCCACAATCGGAAATTCAGAGTAGACACGAAACCTTTCACGGGAATAGTGTTCGTATGCAACAGGGCCGAGACCTCATGCTTGTCATGTCCCCGGACTCCGGGGCCCATCTGGTGCAACTTTTCGCCCCGGATCCGTTCTAGTCTGGGGGTCCGAACACGGCCCGAAGAGGCCGGAAAGGGCAACAGACCTCCCCGAACCCAGCGCCTCGAACCTCGCCCCCCGCCGCTGCTGGCCGGAACCGGCGCTGGGCCACCCCAGACCCCCAGCCCTCGAGCAGGGGATCGACTACAAAGTTGATTCACCCCAAGATTAATTTCCTCGTCGACTCCACGAGCACTGCGTAGAATGTTCGTAGAGATCTACGAACGTTCGACGCACTGCTCGTGGACTCAGACTCGGCGAGAAAATCAATACGGGGGCAAGCCAAATCTGTCGTCGATCCCCTGCGCGAAGCCCGCTCCAGGTCTGCGAGGCCCAGCTTTTGGAGGCAGGCTCCCAGAGCCGCAGCCCGCACGCCAGCCCCTGCGCGCCAGCCCCGGCCACCAGGGCCAGCGGGCGGGCGCCGGCGGGCGGCGCCGCGCCTGCCGCCGCCATGGGCGCAGGCGGGCGGCCGGCCGGCGAGCGGCGGGCGGCGGCGGGCGGCGGGAGCCGGGGCGCCCTGCAGCATCGGGCGGGGGGGGGGGGGAGGAGCCTGCTTTTTGTAGACCCCAGCAAGTTTACTTGCATGGAGGGGGGGGCTGAACCTGAAGCAAGCCGCAAAGCGCTTGCGCGTGCAGAAATAACGCAAATCGAAAGCCACTTGCGCGCTAGTACTCGTTTGAAGAAGAGCGAGGGCGGGGGTGGGCGAACGCCATGCAAGTATACTTGCCTGAATCTGAATAGAAACAAGCTCAATTGGAGAACGGCGGGACGGCATACACATGCGCTTTCGGAGGTCCGCGCGGGTTGCTTGGATCGGCGCTGGGGCCCCCTCCGTGGTGCGCGGAGCGCGACGGGGGCGGCGCCAGAGGCGCCGTGGGGGGGCGCAGCGCCGACCCGAGAAATCTACGCGGACCGACACCCGTTTTGAATTCAACAAAAAAAATCGAGGGATGGCAGCAACTGCGGGGGCAGAAACATGTTTTCCCCCGCAGCGCGCACGCATCATCTTCCATAGTCCATGTCTGAGGTCCTTGCAGCTAGGCGGCTGGGGCGCACGCCCGATTGTTGGAAGACGGCGCCACAAGATAATTAGTGACAACAGCTGGGGAGAGACAACAACAGTGTGAGCAGGAGCAGGAAAAGGAAGGTCGGAGGATGATCGGGGGGGAGGGTGCGTTTTGGACGCTTTTGCCCAGCACAGCGTGCAGAGGAAAAGTGGGAAGGGAGAGAAAGCAACCACGCGCCGAGCCGAGGGGCCTTCAGCCCAAGCTGCAAGGCACCCCCGACCCTTCACCCTTTCAAACGGAGGGCGGGGAAGCAATTGAGCAGCAGAACGGGCCGTCGAGATGACCCGGCTGTGGTGGCAGCAGGTGGCTTACATTCTGTCCTCGGCGGCAGGTGCCTCCCCGTCCTCTCCTTGCACACAGCATCGAGACATCACCAAACATAGCCAGAACAGAGCACGAAGAATCGCCAGCTGACCATGTTTTACTACTCTTGAACCTTGCTCCTGCAGAGGGGCATGCCCGCCTTTCGCCCTCAAGCATGGGCGGGGGGAGGGGGGGCGCGCGCCGTGCGGCGGCCCTTGGTGCCCCACGACTCCAGGTCGATGGCGAACTGCTGCAGCCACTCCCTGCATTCTACCTCGTCGGCCAGGGGTGGAGGGCGAAGGGGAGGGACGAGAGGAAGCATGGACAGGAGGGAAGAAGAAGGAGGCAAGGAGGGAGGGAGGAAGGAGGCAGGGAGGGAGGAGGGAGGGAGGGAGGAGGCAGGGAGGGAGGAGGGAGGAGGAGGGGAGGAGGAGGGGGGAGGGGAGGGGAGGGAGGGAAGGGGGGGAGGGGGGAGGGAGGAGGGAGGCAGGCAGGGAGGAGGGAGGGGAGGGGGAGGGGAGGGAGGCTGGGAGGAGCGAGCGAGGCAGGGGAGGCAGCAGGAGAGCAGCGGCATGGCGAGGAACGAGGAAGCTGGCATCGTCGTCGTCGTCGCGTCGTCGTCGTCGTCGTCGTCGTCGTCGTCGTCGTCGTCGTCGTCGGTGGAGGAGGGAGGGGAGGGAGAGGAGGAGGAGGAGGAGGGGGGGAGGGAGGGGGAGGGGAGGAGGAGGAGGAGGAGGAGGAGGAGGAGGGAGACCTCGTCGGCAAACGAGCCCTTCTTCTTGGTCTCCTGCGCGCCCGCCCCGGGAGCCCGAGCTGGCGGTCGCGCCACCTTCCCGCTCCTCCTCCTGCTCCTCCTCCTCCTCCTCCTCCTCAGGCTGAAGCCAAACCCTGAACCCTTGAACCTTGATGCATTATCCTGCTCATCATGCTCCTGTTCCTTCTCTTCCTGCTCCTCCCCCCTGATCCGCCTTATCGTTTGCATCATCATTTTGCCGCCTCTTGCTTCCTCTAGCCTCCGTCCTCCCTCCCTCCTCCTCCCCTCCTCCTCCTGTTCCCCCCCGTCTCTGTCAAAGCCCACCCCGCTGAGCCCCCCCACCCAACTTCCCAAGCTCCTTCCGCTCGGAGCCCTCGAACAAGTACCGCTGGATCTGGGGCCTGCAGCGCCGGTTGATCGGGGAGCGGCCGGGAGGAGGGGGAGGAGGAAGGGGGCGCGGGGGAGGGAGGCGAGGGGTGAGGGGCAAGCTATGTGCGCTCGCGCCACATCTGACTTCATATCCGTCCCTCCCAGCCCTTCCCATTGTGATGTTTTTGTTCCCTATCTGCGGACGCGTGTCGTAGCCGACCTGAACTCCATTACCCCAGCAGGGCACCCTAATAGTAGCAAAGATGACCTACAGGACCTGTGGAGAAGGTGGAAACTGTTGGACTTGTGCCATCTGTAAGACCTGACACCTATGCGACTTCTGTGGCCTGTGGGACGTGTGGGACATGTGAGACCCGTGGGACAGGTGGGAACTGTGGACCTGCGGGACCCGTGTGACCTGTGGGACCTGCGGGACCTGCGGGACCTGTGCGACCTGGGGGACCTCTGTGGCCTGTGGGACCTGTAGGACCTGTGGGAACTGTGGGACATCTGGGACCCGTGAGACCCGTGGGACCCGTGGCACCAGCGGGACTCTTGTAACCCGTGTGGCCCAGGGGACCTCCGTGGGACCTGTGAGGCAGACAGGCAGCACCTGTGGGGACCCGTGGGCCCTGCGGGACCTGTCGGGTCTGTCGGACCTGTGGGACTTGCGAGACTCGTGGGACCCGTGCGGCGACCTGCGACACCTGTGGGTCCTTCGGGGGGAACGAAAGGGGGGGACAGCAGAGGGTAGGGTAGAGAATCAGCTCACGTAGATTTTCCCAGCGCCTCCCGGCGCCCATGTAACGAGGAATGGGCCTGGCGGCGGGGCCGAAACCAGCTGCATGCAGCACATTTCGTGACCCCCCCTTTCCCCATCCCCCCCTTTCGATCGGCCCGAGTCCTGTGGGTCCTGTGGGACCTGTGGAACCTGCGAGACCTGTGGGATCCAGAAAGGTGGCCCAGGCTGGGGCGAGAGTGCCACTCTGAACGACGGGAGCACGGCGCCGATTCGAAAATGAGGTCGCGCCGCAGCGAGAGCACCATCCTGGAAGCACCGAAAACCATCGGAGTGGGACATCACGCAGGAAAAGACAGTTCGGCCAAATCCTGTGGGGCAAAAGCGGGACGCGGATGGGGGCGGGAGATCGTCGGACAACTTCAGGGGAGAGAGGAGTGTGTTATTTATACTTGGTAACTGTCAAGCTGGGCGCACTCGCGCCACGACATCCGACCCATCCTACCCCTTCACTCCCGCTGCGCTGGACTACTCTGAGTTCGCCGAGTGCGGGGGGGCCCTGGAGGGCACTGATGTCCGACGTGACCGTGACCCCATCGCACGATGCGAAACAGCGGAGGGGGCTTCGTACGGATGGGCAGGATGAAGAGGAGAAGGACGAGGACGGATGAGGATCAGCAGCAGCAGCAGGAGCAGGAGTAAGAGTCTTCGGTGGCAACTCATGGGAGCCTCCCATGCCATTGTTGGCTCTTGCGAATCGACCCTAGTCGACGCTAAGTCGACGCTACTCGACGCTGAGTCGACGCTAATCAACGCTAGCCGACGCTCAATCGGCGCTATCTCATCGACCCACAGACGATAATCGGCACTAGTCGACGCTACACACGGAATCAAGAGGGTACACCAGGCTCCCATGATTTGCTACAGAAAGAGTCGTAGTCGAGTTGCCCAGGAGAACTCGGGATGATCACGGCGAAGACGAAGTGCATGCGCCATGCCGGAGCAGCACTGTCCTAAGGGGACTTGCGCGAGATGACGCGGCGACATTACGCGGTGGTGGGCCGCCCGCGCGGCGCCTCACGTTGGAAACGAGGGCGGTTACGCGCAACCGTGGAAAGAATCCACAAACACACACCAACACCAACACCAACACACACACACACACACCAATACACACACCAACACACACATCAACACACACACGCACCACACACACAAACAAAGAACACACGTGGGAGCACATACGCAGTGGGAAAAAACACGGTGCAACAAAAAACAAAGTGGGAAACACACACATTGTTTTGTGTGTGTATGTTGTGTGTCTATGTTTGTTTGTTTGTATGTTTGTTTGCGTGTATGTATGTGTGTATGTTCGTTTGTTTGTGAGCATGTAGGTGTGTGTATGTTTGTTTATTTGTGTGCAGGTATGTGTATGCTTGTGTGTGCGTGTGTGTGTGCGTGTGTGTGTGTGTGTGTGCGTGTGTGTGTATGTGGGTGTGCGTGTGCGTGTGCGTGTGAGTGTGTGTGGCAGTTCCACAGACGCGGGCAGCTTACGCTCCAATGTCGGCGCAGGCGACCTCGTTTCTCTGAATCGCTCACGCCTTTTCACGCCCTTCGAGCGGCAACGACGCACTTCTGGGCGAGGGCGTGGCCTCGCGCGGCGCCCCGCGGCCGCTTGGCCGCCTCCTGCGACTGCGGCGCGCGCGCGGGAGCGCCGAACCGAAGCCCGGCGCGCGACCCGATCTGGACTCCCGCCTTGCAGTCAGCGTCCTACCAGAAGGAACACCAGAGAAGGAACGAAGGGGCTTTTTTTTGGCCACGGCGAGCCTCCCCTTCGAGCAGGCTCCCCGACCGAGGTCTAAAAGGAACGGTCCCCAAAAACTCCTGAGCCCAAGGTGGTCCTTACTTTGGCGTCGCGCACAAGGGGGTGGAGGAGGAGGGGGAAGGGCTTCGTAGGAGGAGGCTGCTTCTCAGAAGGCGCCGGCCTTACGTCTACAGATCAGGCCCGCGCCTTCCAAGGAGCAGGGGTGCTTTTGAGAAGCCCTCCCCCCTCCCCCCACCCCTCCATTTGCGCGTGGCTGACTTATGTTGCTCCCATCGTACTTAGAGGACCACATCCCAGGTTAGAATTTCGAGCACCCAGAAAAAGTATCGAAACTGTGTCGAGCGAGTATCGCCACCCAGGGCCCGACGCATGAAAGCCCTCCAGTTTCGGTTCTCTCTTGGTGCTCGATTTTTTTTGCTGGCGATCAAGGCTAAAGTAGGTTGGAACATCATAACCCCCGATCCCCGCCGAACCTCTAGGAGCTACAATGAAGTCGAGCATGTCCCTCTACAAGAGGGAAAATCAAATAAATCAAGAAATAGTCCGGGGATAAATTGTCGACTATATTGTTGACTATGCTTGAATCTGTTTGTCTGTTTTTATTAATTCTTCCAAAATGCGCCTGCAGAAGGACATGCACGATCGAAATCTACAAGGTTCTGGAGCATTTTTTGATGATTGGTTTCGGCCTCTGGCCGAAGGGTGGGGGCAGGGGGGGTGTTTGAGTCTGGGCTGGTGCTCAGTCGACTTGCTTTTGCTAGTCCCGCAGGCATGCTGGAGGGGGGGGGGTCTGACCAGTCGCCACAAAGCAGCCAAGATCTGGTCTATGGAGAGGGCGGGAGGAGGAGGAGGAAGAGGAGGAGGAGGAGAAGGAGAAGGAGGAGGAGGGGGGCCAGGGACCCGCGCTGATCGGCGAAACAAGACACAACAAAAATAGCTACCATGTTCCACGACGTTGGCAGTTCGATCGAGGCTCGCGCGAGACAGCTCTTTTTGACAGGCGCTCAGCGAATCTCGGGAAAGGCGCCTCGGGCCTGCTGATCCATCCTCCCCCTCCCCGCACACCATCGAACAAAACGCTCCGCAGATCGCCCCTGGAGCTTCTGGTGGCCTGCCCGTCGACGCCCAGGCTATGAGGACGTCAACTGAGCGCGCATCCACCAGCACTAGAGAGCGGAAGCACGGCCCTCACAATAAGCACCCCGACAAGAGAGGCCGTTTAGCAAGCGCACCCAAAGAAGAATGTATACAATACAGGGCTGTTTAATAAACGCCCACGGCCGTTATTGCACAGCAGTTATGGGGGTCAGGGAGGTTATTCCTCCATTGAAGGAGGCGGCTGGAAGGTCTGAACAAGTTGGTACTCCCGAATATCAATCAGGAGGGGGGGAGAGGCCAAATCCATTTAAAATCAATCCCAAGACCCCTGCTGGGGTCTATCTAGTGCATGTTTTCAACCCGGATCAATTTTTCGCTGTCCCAAGCCCCGAACCGAAAACGGCCCCTGGAGGCTGAAAAAGGACAAAATCTTCCCGAATCCAGAAACTCGAACCTGCCCGCCGCTCATGCTGGCCAGGGCCGGTACTGGGCCACCTGAGAACCCCAGACTACTTGCCATTCGGCGGCGGGCGAGGGGGGGAATTGAGAAAAAGAGAAGGCCTTCTCGGAAGGCTCGGAAGCCCCCCGGCCTTCCGACAAGTGTTCTAAGCCTTCTCCGAAGACGCAGGAATCTCCTCAGAAGGCGCGAGGGCTTCTGAGAAGTCCCGCCGCCCTCTGACAAGGCCTCCTCCTCCTCCTTCGCATTTCCCCCCCTCGCTCGCCGCCGAGCCATGAAAGAACAACGATCCTTGGAGGAGGCGGACCTTGGAACCCGGCGCATTCCCCTGGGGGGCCAGCTCCTCCTCCCGTGCCGCGCTTTGCCGGCCCGCGGGCCCCGGAGCGGCCTCGAGCAGGCCGAAAACGGCGAAACCCTCAGGAGCCCTGCTGCTGCTGCTGCTGCTGCTGCTGCTGCTGCTGCTGCTGCTGCTGCTGCTGCTGCTGCTGCTGCTGCTGCTGCTGCTGCTGCTGCTGCTGCTGCTGCTGCTGCTGCTGCTCCTGCTCCTGCTCCTGCTGCTCCTCCTCCTCCTCCTCCTCCTCCTCCTCCTCCTCCTCCTCCTCCTCCTCCTCCTCCTCCTCCTCCTCCTCCTCCTCCTCCTCCTCCTCTCCTCCTCCTCCTCCTCCTCCTCCTCCTCCTCCTCCTCCTCCCTCCTCCTCCTCCTCCTCCTCCTCCTCCCTCCTCCTCCTCCTCCTCCTCCTCCTCCTCCTCCTCCTCCTCCTCCTCCTCCTCCTCCTCCTCCTCCTCCTCCTCCTCCTCCCCCCCCCCCCCCCCCCCTCCTCCTCTCCTCCTCCTCCTCCTCCTCCTCCTCCTCCTCCTCCTCCTCCTCCTCCTCCTCCTCCTCCTCCTCCTCCTCCTCCTCCTCCTCCTCCTCCTCTCCTCCTCCTCCTCCTCCTCCTCCTCCTCCTCCTCCTCCTCCTCCTCCTCCTCCTCCTCCTCCCTCCTCCTCCTCCTCCTCCTCCTCCTCCTGCTCCTCCTCCTGCTGCTCCTCCTCCTCCTCCTCCTCCTCCTCCTCCCTCCTCCTCCTCCCTCCTCCCTCCTCCCTCCTCCCTCTCCTCCTCCCTCCTCTCCCCCTCCTCCTCCTCCTCCTCCTCCCTCCTCCCTCCTCCCTCCTCCCTCCTCCCTCCTCCCTCCTCCCTCCCCCTCCTCCTCCCTCCTCCCTCCTCTCCTCCTCCTCCCTCCTCCTCCTCCCTCCCTCCTCCCTCCTCTCCCCTCCTCCCTCCTCCCTCCTCTTCCTCTTCCTCTTCCTCTTCCTCTTCCATCCTCCTCCTCCTCCCGCGTCCTCCCCTCCCTCTTCGATCCTCCGCCCCTCCCTCCTGCTGCCTCCCTGGAGCCAGGCCTCGCTTCTGCTGCTGCTGCTGCTGGTCCTCGTCCTCCTCCTCCTTCCTCGCCCTCCCCCTCTTCCTCCGGCTTCTCCTCCTGCTCGTCCGCCACCTCCTCCTCCCCCAGTGTGCGCAGCTCTCTTGTTCTCCGATTGCGCATCCCAGTGGGCTCCTCCCTGGAGTTCCAGGCCCGCCAGGACGAGCGTCGGCGGACGGGGAAAACCCATCACGATGGGAAGGGATGGGCGGGAGGTATTTGGGTGACCCAGAAGGGGGTCCAGCTGAAAGGGGGTGGTGCAACAGATTGCGGGCAATTGTATTGCAAATGCATTGCGCCGGAGACTGGTATTGCATCGTACTGCAAGTTCTGCGTTGCACGCGAAAATCCAGCAATACATTTGCGCCCTGGAATGTACTGCACGCTCCGAATGTATTGCAACCCCACAAATCTATTGCACCAAATCTGTTGCACCATCCCCTTGTCGCTGGACCCCCTTTTGGGTCAACCCGACGGTAGGATCTTGGATGTGGCGGGAGCGCTCCCAACTTGCCTCTTAAAGCCCCTCTCCCCCGCCCTGGGCCGAGAGACCGTGCCCGTGCACGCCCTCAGTCAGCAGCCCGCACCGCACACCAGTCCCGGCCCCCGGCGCGGCGTGGGCGCGTGCCCGGATTGGCACCCGCGTGGACAGCTGGCGCCCCGCGGCAGGCGGCGGAGGGGGGGGGTCCATGGGGGAACAATTGGAGCGTCGGCAGCTGCTCCGAGCTTCTTCATAAGCGCCGGGGGGGCGTCACCCCCGCTGGCAGCCCCATATCGACCTCCGTCGCGGGCAGCCACCGCGCGCCGAAGGCTCTCCGACCCCCGTCGCGGTGCGACGAGGCGAGGTTGACCCCCGTCGGGGGGGTACCCCCCCACGCTCATCAAGAAACCCAGAGTAGGCAGGGGTCGTCTGCGCTGGCGATGGGATGCCCAAAGGGAGATGCCGTTGGAGCGAAGTGTGCCCCCATGCAGGAGGAGGAGGAGGAGGAGGAGGAGGAGGAGGAGGAGGAGGTGGAGGCGCGACTAAGAAACGGGCGGACGGAGCGGGTCATGGGGGAACAAGCGAGGACACAAAGAGAAGCTGTCGGAGGTCCGCGCGGAAGTCCTGGATCGGCACTGGTGCTTCCTCCCTGGAGCGCGGGGCGCGCCAGGGGCGGCGCCAGAGGCGCCGCGAGGGGACTCCAGCGCCGACCCGAGAAATCCGCGCAGACCTCCGACAGCTCCTGTTTATGTCATCACTGCTTCCCCGAGGTAACGGCGCCGAGACCAGCTCTGGTGCCGACATGGACGCCTGCCGCGTCTCGCTGGAAGAGGAGATCCAGGAGGAGGACCAGAAAGGTGCCAAGCGTGCGAGGGAGGCGCCTCAAGCACCCACCCACCGAGGGAGGAGCTCGAGTTGGCCGAGCGCGGGGGGGGGGGCTCGCCACTCCAGCCAGCTCCAAGCGTGGATGTACTTCAGCTTGCGCTCGCCGTCCTCGGCGAGGCCAGGAGAGGGGTGGCAGGGACGGGGGCGGGCCGAGCGGGGAGGCGATGGCCCGAACAGTACAGCTGGGCCTGGTACCGTGCCCCTCCTCCGACTTCCGCCTCTTCTTCAGGCCTCCCCCTCCTTCTCCCCCTCGTCGTCCCCTCCCCCACCCCCTCGTCGTCCTCCTCCTCCCTCCCTCCCTCCCTCCCTCCCTCCCTCCCTCCTCCACTGCATCTTCGGGGGACTTTGTCTGTCCCGTCGCGCCGCCACCCGCGTCGAATATCCACCTCTGAGTCCACGTCGAGAACTCGTCGCAATCCGCGTCGAATCCGCTCCTCCAGAGCAGACACGGCCCCTCGAAGATGCAGCATGACCCTCGCTGTCGGGGCTCAAGAGACAGGGGTCACTGCAAGCGGGGGTCAGCCAGAGCGCCGGACCTTGCAGGATCCTGCAGGGCCAGGGGCGCACTGACCTTGCTTGGCTGGGGTGCAGGATCCTGCGGGATGCCGCAGCATCTCGCAGGATCCTGCAAGGCCTGACTGACCCGGGTCTGCACTGACCCGGGTCAGAAGATCCCCGACGCCCCCTCCCTCGATGCCGCCCGGCGCGCCGGTCCGCCGCCTGCCCAAGGCCGCCCTCAGCTGCGCGCCTCAGCCCCAGGGCCCACCCTGCCGCCACACGCGCCTCTGGCTCCGGCGCGCTCAGCTCGCGGGGCCCGCCCGGCGCCGCCCAGCCGAAGGCCGGATTCGAGCTCGCGCCGAGCGCGCTGAGCGCGTTTGCCGCGAAGTGAATGTCGACCTCTGCTGCCCCTCGACGTGAGCTGGAGCTCCCTCCTCCCTCCTCCCTCCTCCCTCCCTCCTCCCTCCTCCCTCCTCCCTCCTCCCTGCTCGGTCCTCCGTCCTCCGTCCTCCGTCCTCCGTCCTCCGTCCTCCGTCCTCTGTCCTCCCTCCTCCCTCCTCCCTCCTCCCTCCCCCCTCCTCCCTCCTCCCCCCTCCCCCTCCCCCCTCCTCCTCCTCCTCCTCCTTCCTCCTCCTCCTCCTCCTCTCCTCCTCCTCCTCCTCCTCCTCCTCCTCCTCCTCCTCCTCCTCCTCCTCCTCCTCCTCCTCCTCCTCCTCCTCCTCCTCCTCCTCCTCCTCCTCCTCCTCCTCCTCCTCCTCCTCGTCCTCCTCCTCGTCCTCCTCCTCGTCCTCCTCCTCCTCGTCCTCCTCCTCGTCCTCCTCCTCGTCCTCCTCCTCGTCCTCCTCCTCGTCCTCCTCCTCGTCCTCCTCCTCGCCCTCCTCCTCGCCCTCCTCATCGCGTCCTCCTCCTCGTCCTCCTCCTCGTCCTGCTCCTCCTCCACCTGACGCTGACGGCGGACTGGGTGTCTCCGAAGCCGTTAGCCGATCACCTGGGGAGACCTACGCCTGCCTCCACCCTTCCCATTTTCTCCCGAAGACCCGAGGTTGGTGGAGGTGGGGGATAGTCCTGGCCCCTGCGATAGGGCTCGAACTCCCCCCTCGCTCAGAGGTCGTAGTCCAAGTGCTGGCCGAATTGGTCCTTCGCGAACTCAGGCCTAACCCCTCGCCCTGCCGGGGTGGGCCGCGCCCTGGGGCCTATCCCTTTGCCCCGCGGGGGTGTCGAGGCCTTGTGGCGGCCGTCGGAGTGCTCGCCGTGCCAGTCGCCGTGGGGCCGCGCGTTCTCGTAGCAGCTGTCGTCGTGGAGCTGCTCGCGCCTTCTGTGGTCCGTCTCTCGCTAACCGTGGGCCTCGTTCTGATCGAGTTGCAGGAAGGGCGCCCACGTCGCGTCAGCTGCGAGCACGGCGCTCGGGTTGTCGGGGACCCACTCGGCCATGTCTTCGCCGTCGAGGGATGCCCAAGCTTCGGCGGCGGCGGTCCTTCCCACGTCGACGCCTTCTCTTGAGTGGCGTCGTTGAAAGCTCACGTATGCCGAGAGCTCGGTGATCGAAACCTCAGTGAAGGAGGTCTGCAGATCCGTCGGGAGCGTGGCGAAAGTGGCGGGAGCGCCCGTCACCTGCACTTGGGTTAGGCGCGCGGGCAGGATCGCCTGGTGTTCCGAGGTGGCGAGGTTGTCCTCGAGATCCCCCTCGGGCCCGTCCTCGAGGTCATCCTCGAAGACTGTCCACGGCCCGCGTGCAGATGGAGGGATCAGGCCGCTCTCCCAAGTGATGGCTGCGTCAATCGTCTCCTCGTCGTTCCCCCTCTTAGCTCTTCGTCGTCGCCGCTTTTTCTTCTCGCGCTCGGGGCAGTTGGGGGTTGTTTGCGCGGCCCCCCACCGCGCGGGGTCCTCCTGCGCGTCCCCGTTGCTCGCCTCCGCCTCAAAGGTGTTCGGGCGCCTCCCCTGGCTGCGCTCGGTGCGCAGCTGGTTGCTGTTAGCCTCCTGGTCGTCGTCCTTCGCGGTGCTGGCCTGGCCGCTCGCGGTGCTCACCTCCGCCTCGAAGGCGTTCAGGTGCCTGCCATGGTTGCGCTCGGAGCGCTGTTGGTTGCCGTTGGCCTCCTGGGCGCCGTCCTCCGCGGAAAGCGCCTAGCCGTTCGAGGCGCGCACCTCCGCCTCGAAGGCGTTCTGGTGCCCGCCCTGGTTCTCCACGGTGTGCAGCTGGTCGCCGCACACGTCCTCCGCCTCGGTCTCGTTGCGCTGCTGGTTGCCGTTGGCCTCCTGGTCGTGGTCCTCCGTGGGGACGGCCTGGCCGTTCGCGGTGCTCACCTCCGCCTCGAATGTGTTCTAGTGCCTACCCTGGTTGCGCTCGGAACGCTGCTGGTTGCCGTTGGCCTCCTGGTCGTCGTCCTCCGCGGAGCGGGCCTGGCCGCTCGCGGTGCGCACCTCCGCCTCGAAGGCGTTCAGGTGCCTGCCCTGCTTGCGCTCGGAGCGCTGTTGGTTGCCGTTGGCCTCCTGGGCGCCGTCCTCCGCGGAGCTCGCCTTGCCGTTCGCGGTGCGCACCTCCGCCTCGAAGGTGTTCTGGTGCCTCCCCTGGTTCTCCGCGGTGCGCAGCTGGTCGCCGCACGCGTCCTGGGCGTCGTTGGAGCGGTCCTCCGCCTCCGTTTTGGTGCGCTGCTGGTTGCCGTTGGCTTCCTGGTCGTGGTCCTCCGTGGAGCTGGACTGGCCGTTCGCGATGCTCACCTCCGCCTCGAAGGCGTTCTGGTGCCTGCCCTGCTTCTCGATGGTCTCGAACAGCTCGGCGTTGTTGCGGCGCGCTGTGGCAGCGCGCGCCGTCCTCTCCGCCGTGCGACGGAGGAACTGGGCCGAAGGGTAGGCGACCCCAGGCGAATACTGGCGCTGCTGGTGCTGCCCCTCGTGGCCGTACTGCGGCTGGATCGCGCCGTGCTCGAGGGGCACGAAGACATCGGCCTCGGCCCTCAGCTTCGAACCCCTCTGGGAATTGCTTGGGCGGCTGAGCCTCGGCCCACGCTGCGCCTTCCGCCAGCTCGCGTCAGGAGCTCCTGGTGCGGGGAGGCGGCGAGCATGAGAGGCGACGTTCCTTCGCAGTATCTTGGAATATTAAATGTCCTGGTCCGAGAGCTGCGCGTCCAGCACGGGCGCGACGAAGGCGAGCCGCCTGGTGGTCTCAGGCGTGGCGTTGCACAATGGCTCCAATTCTTGCAGCCGCGCTGCTTGCTTCCATACCAGTTGCTCCCGTGAGAGCCAGGCCCACTGCTGAGCCTTTCGTCGTTCGCGGTGTGACGGCCATCTGGTGCCGCCAGCCGGCGGAGCTTTGGCCGAACCCCCCGTCGCCATGCTTGCCATGCGCTATGCCATGCCTGGTGAGCCCAGATGGTCCGAAAGCGGGCAACAAAAAATGCTTGAACCAGAATAGCTACGGAGCTCCTCCACATCCTCCTCCTCCTCCTCCTCCTCCTCCCTCCTCCCTCCTCCTCCTCCCTCCTCCCTCTCCTCCTCCCTCCTCCCTCCTCCCATCTCCCATCTCCCTCCCTCCTCCTCCATCTCCATCTCCTCCTCCTCCTCCTCCTCCTCCTCCTCCTCCTCCTCCTCCTCCTCCCCTCCTCCTCCTCCTCCTCCTCTCCTCCTCCTCCTCCTCCTCTCTCCTCCTCCTCCTCCTCCTCCTCCTCCTCCTCCCCCTCCTCCTCCTCCTCCTCCTCCTCCTCCTCCTCCTCCTCTCCTCCTCCCCTCCCCCTCCCCCTCCCCCTCGACTCTCATTCCTCACCATCCTCATCACTCACATTCTCCGCCTGCTTCTACCTCCTCCCCGCTGGCGGCACTCACCATAAGGGGTGGCGCGAGGGACACGGCCTGCTCAGAAGTGCCCCGGGGCTTCTAAGGAGGCGCCTCGATCGCAGAGAGTGCGCACGAACAAGCCCTTACAGTAGGAGCTCGACCACAAGAAACCTTCCACAAGAAATCCAACCCTCAGACCCCAAGACGTCCGTTGATTTCTGGTGCGAAGAGGTCACGCTTTCCATCGCAGAACCATCGACACCCAAGAAACCCAGGGCACCCTGGAGGCCAGCAAGGTGTTTCTTGGCAAGGGCTTCCACTGTACAGTCGTGGATGCCCTTCAGGCCCTTTTGGCAAGCTGCCCTCCCTCGCCCCGAGTATGGGTGAGTGGTTCTGCGCATCAAGAAGCCTGAGAGTGGGACTACGTGCGCCTCTGAATACCCGTGGGCCTGAGCATGAGTCTGAATGTAAGCGCGGCTGTGAGTGATGGAATCTGAATTTGGGTGGGTCTGAATACTGACGGGTCCGCGTTGACTGAGTCTGGATGAGTGAGTCTGGGTGTGAGCCCATCGGAGTATGCGTGAGTCAGAATATCCGCAATTCTGAGAGAGTCTGAGTGTGAGCGGGTGGGAGTACGACTACACCTGAATATAAGTGGATTGAGTGAGCGTGAGATGGGGGGGCAATAACCAAATACTTACGAGCCTGGCCATACCGAATGCCGTCGACCAGTGGCCTACATTGCCTCTGTGTTCAGCTAGCTGTAATGCCGTGCACACGGCATGCTTGCGAACATACATTGCGACTGCCCAGATCTGCCTGAGACGCCCTCCCGTCAAGCTTGCCAGCTGACCTTCTCCACTCTCCCCTGCCGTCCCCTGCCAAAATCCGGCCGCACGTATATGCAGGCACAGCTGCCACGCTGGAGCACTCGACACAAGAGATGCAACAACAAACATCGTCGGACGCCTCCTCCGCCTCCTCCGCCTCCTCCTCCTCCTCCGCCTCCTCCTCCTCCTCTTCCTCCTCCTCCTCTGCCTCCTCCTCTTCCTCCTCCTCCTCCTCCTCCTCCGGAATAGCCACGACACCGTCATGTCTCTCTAGAGGTTGCGCCTGCCTCGTTACGCAGGACGACGGCACTGGACGCTCCGCGACATCGAAGAACGAAACACATCTCGGCACAACCGTTGAAACGGATGAGGTATACTTATCCCGCGTCGTTCTCAAAATATCACCACTGGGGATACGATAATTCTGCCTCCACCATCTATATCACCCCAGCAAGGGTCCTTCCCAGGCTCCGCGTATTCCAAGGTGTTGAAGTCCTCGCAGAAGCCATGGCGATTGCGCTACTACAGCTGTGTCGAAGAACATGGAGTAACCGCACCAACAGACGTGAGAAGAGGGAAACGCGCCGCCATTCTTCAAGCACAAATGCTCAATGACCAAACATCTGCCTACACTCAGCACCCTCGAACCGTGTTCCAGCTCAGCGCCTCTTGGCCTCCGACGCCACGGTTTAAAGCCGATGTGGTGAAAGAGTGTGGCGCACCGAAGTGAAGCGCAACACGAAAGGCCCTGCAGCCCGAATACCCATTTCGGCGCAGAGAACTGCACGGCTTGCCAGGACGAAGCGAACGATCAAGCTGGGACGATCCAGGGGCTGAAAGCAAAGCTCAGACAGCTCCCATAATCAAGTATGTTGTCCAGCCTCCGCAGATCACTCTTCTCCACGGTCACATGCTTCAGCAGCCGAACCTGGTCGAAAGGAAGGCTTGGCTGGCCAAGAATGGGAGCCCCCAAAGATGGCTTCAGACGGCGTCAGACGGGCCAGGAGCCCACCAAGATGGCCGAAGATGGCCCTAAGATGGCCCAAGACGGCCCAAGAGGCCTGCAAGAGGGCCTCCGGGAAGGCCCGCAGAGGCCGAACTCATTGAGTGCCCTTCGATTTTTGAAAGATTTTGACACTTGCTTCTGTTCGGCCTTCCAGCGGCCCGAGACGGCCCAATAGCCCCCAAAGATCGCCCCAAGATCGCCCAAGAGGCTTCCGAGATGGCTCCAGACCGGCCCAAGAGGCCCCCAAGACGGCCCCAAGAGGGCCCAAAGACGGCCCAAAGACGGCCCAAGAGGCCTCTGAGACTCCCAAGATGGCCCCTCAAACAGCCCTGGAACATTCCAAGAGGGCCCCAAGTCGGCCTGGAGAGGCCCCCAAGGCCGCCGAGGAGGGTTCCGAGACTGCCCAAGAGGCCTCCAAGACGCCCAAGATGGTCTCCACGACGGCCCCGGAGCACCTTAAGAGGGCCTCAAGTCGGCCCAGAGAGGCCCCCAAGACGGCTTCGAACGGCGTTAGACGGGCCAGGAGCCCACCAAGACGGCCAAAGAGGCCCCCGATAAGCCCCCAAAGGCACCCAAAAGGCACAAGGAGGCCCCCAAGATGCCTCCAAGAGGCTCCCAGGAAGCTCCCAGGAGACCCCAAGAGTGTCCCCAGAGGCTCCCAAGATGCCCCTCCTCCTCCTCGTCCTCCTCCTCCTCCTGATCTTCCCCGCCATCCTCTCCCAAGTGTTCCCCGGAGGGTTTCCACAACGGTTGGGGGAACTCATGTCCGATAGTTTGGCATAGCTGATGCCACAACGCTCGGCCACATGGGCGATTCCAGAAGGCAGGGGGCGGCGGTGATTCGCAGTAGGCGTCTTGATATAGTACAACAAACTTCGACGAACCAGAGATCGATAGATCCAATGATGTAAACGCAGGCTTGGCAAAACGGCGGCAAACACGCCACGGCAGAGAAGACCGATGGACTGGTCAGGTGAGGGAATAGTGAGTTGATAATGTCCGAGGGACCAGTCAGATGAATGAGCTGCTGAGTGCAAGCTGCCCAACCGAATCATGCAAGTGTGCAGCAGACGTCGGCCATAGCGGCGAGTGGCAGGAGTCCACACCAGGAAGGCCGCTGCAAATAATCTCGACAGTGTACAAGTGGTACCTCGCCCGCGCGTCGACAAGAAGCACGCCGATCATGCAGATTTGCCATACTGAGCGGCCGAGATGCATCTGCGAACTGCACAACAGCACTCAAACTGATCGTGGTGCCCGTCTGTGGCAACACCACGCGGCAAATTGTACAACAGAGCGAAGGAAGGTGCGTGCAACAGACTGAAACAAGCTCCACATTCGTGGTATCGTCTATCAGTTTTCCTGGTTTCTCGGAAGCCGCTGACTTCGCCGCAACTCACGAACAACTTTCTCCACACAAGGCTGGGCCTCCCCCTCTGGAGGTCCCCAGCAGTCGCCAGAGGCCCACTCATGCCCCTGGAGGCCTACTGAGACCCCCAAAGCAACAGACGCTCAGCAGCCTCGACGTAATCCCGATCCCCTGTTCGCCTCCTCCTCCTCTTCCTCCTCCTCCTCCTGCTCCTCCTCCTCCTCCTCCTCCTCCTCCTCCCTCTCCCCGACCTCTCCTGCGGAATCTATTCGGCCGCCTCTCCTCAGTGCAGTCAGGATGCCGATGTGGCGAACGGAAAGACGTGACGGTGGACCGGGCCGACGTCGACCGAGGGCGCCGCGCGCCTCTCAGCGCGGGCCGGTTCGAGGCTCGAGGCCGTGGTTGTCCCAAATCCCCCCCCCGTGTGGGTTTGGGGGGGGCCCACGCGTGCCTCGAACGACGCCCCGTGTGGGGATGGCCGTCCAGGCCCTTGTGGCGACCAGAGGGGGAGGAGGGGGGGGAGGAGGAGGAGGAGGAGGGGGAGGAGGAGCGGGAGGAGGAGCAGGAGGAGGAGGAGAGAAGGCAAAGGAAGGAAAAACTCGAGAGGCCAACAAGCCACATGTGTGTCAGATGTCAACTCCTGGCAGAGGGTTAACTCTTGTCGGAGCGTTTGGATATCTGCATAGTCCGCGCTCGCGGGGGCGGCCATGGGGGGTCTGCGGACTTCTCACTGGGCCGAAAACGCGCAAAGACGTTCCAAGAGCGGCCGAACGACCCCGCAGAGCGCGGATCGAAGCGTATCAGGCACCAGGCTGGCCTCTAGATGGCATCAAGATGGCCTCAACATGGAACAAGACAGCCCGATGAACTGCACAGACGGCCCAACATGGCAGACAAAAAAACTGTCCTCGGATGCTCCCGAGAGGGTCGTAATCCTGGAGCAAGTATTCGCGTTTCCTACCTGTGCGGGTTTCAATCTGCTTCTCTGGCCCCGAACTGGTCTCAGGAAGACCACACGGGAGAGACAGCGCTTGCCAACACGGGCAACCCACTAGGATGGGCGACCAGGCACCACTCGGAACTGCTGCACAAGCACTCCTCGAGATGCTGGTGAGTTTAGAGTAAGTCGCGATGGCAGCGGCCCGAGGCGTGCACGAGAGTTCAAGAGAGAAAGAGAGACAGAACGCCCCATGCATACCTACATACATGCATGCATGCATACATACATACATACATGCTTGCATGTATGCATACATGTACGCACGCACACACACAAACACACACACACACACACACACACGTATATACATACCTACCTACATACTTGCATACATACACAGCAACATATCGACATATCAACATACCGACGCACCACCATACCTACATACCTACAAGTGTGCATCCATGCATACATAAAGGCGTGCATGCATACATGTTCATACACACATCCGTACACACATTCACACACATTCGCACATACATCCATACAGGCAAACACACAGGCGGGCAAACAGGCATACATGCAGACATACAGGTGTGCGTGCATACATACGTGCAGGCATATGTGCCTATATACATGTATACGCATACACACTCGTACACGCACACATGCATGCACGCATGCATGTATACCTACATGCATGTATGTTTGCATGCATACACACAAACACACATACGTACACATATCAAATGAAAGGGGGCGTGAGGGGATGCCGAGAGAGATAGAGAGAGAGAGAGATAGAGAGAGAGAGAGAGAGCGAGAGGGACAAGAGAGAGAGAGAGAGAGACAGGGCACTGCCTCGGAGCACGTCAGCTCACGCAGCCACCCATTCTGAGGTTTGTGGGGTCCGCGAAGCTCAACGCAGGTTCCCCCGCGCCGCGTCGGCACCCCCCGGACCCCAGAGCTCCATGTCGATGCCGCAAGACACGACCTGTTTTTCCGTCGGCGTCCATGGACCGCGCCGCGCGCGCAACTGAACATTGAAATTGTAGAGGCCTCCTAGGTGGGGTCGGAGTAGATGGGGTCGGAGGATCGCGCCGCATCGCCGATACATCGGCGATGCATCGGCGATGTATCGGCGATGCACCGGCGATGCATCGTCGACTTCGGCGACGCATCGGCGATGTTGACGTGAAGCAGAGCGGGCTGCACATCGAGCCGCATCGGCGATGCATCGGCGATGCGGCGCGATCCTCCGACCCCATCTGCTCCGACCCCACCTGGGAGGCCTAGAAACTGGGGGCAGGGGGGGGAACCTGTGTTGAGTTTCGCTGAGGGCTGCAGGTCCCGGGGGCATCGCCCGACCGCTGCTGCTGTCCTGCTGAGCAGGCCCGACGGCGCGGATCGACATCGTCGGCGGGCTGCTGGGCGACCCCGCCTCCCGAGGCCATGCGCACGCCGAGCCCCGACGAGGGGGAGGGGCGAACTTCTCGCCGTCTCTGCGCCCCCCCCCCTCGATCCTCGATCCTCGATCCTCGGTCCTCGATCCTCGATCCTCGGTCCTCGCACCTCCATGCTCGAGCCTCGATCCTAGATCCTCGAACCTCGATCCAGGGCCTGGGCAGCGGGAAAGAGAACGGGGGCAGCAGCGGCGGCCGACAAGCCAGCCAGCAGGCAATGGGGCGCGAAGCGGAGAGGCAGGGGCTGGACCCTGCCCAGGGCCCCTGGCGGCCGCCCGAGCGGGCCGACGGTGCCCGAACCCCGAGCAGGGCCCAGGAGAGGACCCCCCGGGGGGCCCCAGAGCTCCCCGACCAGGGAGGTCAGGGGGAGGCAGGCCCCCAAGACGGCCCCAAGGCAGCCCCAAGGCAGCCCCATGCTGACCCCAAGCTGGCTCGAGATTGTGGACGTTTTCGTCTTCGGCGTCTCGACATTGGGCGGAAGGGGGAGGGGAAGGGGGGGGGGCCTGCTTCGGACCTATGCTTAGTGTGGCTGTTTGCAGCAGTGCGTCCTGTGGGGAGACTCCACATGCTCGGAACAAGCACCAAAACAGCCAAGATCTATCCCACGGGGGTGGGGTGCGAGGGACCGCGCCGATCGGCAAAGTGAATCAGAAAACGATCACATAGTTCAAGACAGCCGAAGGAACACCAAAGATGCCCCAAGAAGCTCCCCGGGGGACCCTGGGAGGCCCCAGGAAGGCCCTGCAGAGCCTCCAGATATCTCCACAATGCACTCGTTACCTATACGACCACCCTTCGGGTGATAAGGAGGTTGTGTGTGGGGGGGGGAGGAGAGGGGGGGAACCAACATCTGACTCAATCGATCTCACTATCGATCTCACCCAACGGGACACCACGGGACGCTTGTCGATCTCACTATCGATCTCACTCAACGGGACACCACGAGACACCACGGGCCACCACGGGCCACCACGGGACACCTCGGGGCACCACATCGATATCAGTATCGGTCTCACTATCGATCTCACTATCGATCACACTCAACGGGACACCACGGGACACCACGGGACACCACGGGACACCGCCGGACGGGCGGGAGGGGGAGAATCATTATCTTGACTTCGCCCTAGCAACGGCGGGTTCATGCCTCTCGCGCGCCCACGCAGCTTCGCCTCGCCCGCACACACGACACGAACGACACGAAACGAGTTCCCGGTTGGGGGTCTCCGTTCCACTGCGATATCATCCCCCCAACCTCCGATAAGCAGAATTCTGCGGAGCATATGCGTTAGATTGCTGTGAGTTCGGTATTTCTGCCTCGAGTTCCCCAGGATGCTCTAACAGCCCACGAAGAGGTCTTGAAACTGCGTTCTCGTGCTTTCGGGCTTCGATCGCGAAAACTGGGTGGTGGCGTGTTCCCTCGAGTCTTGTACTTAACCCAGCAACTTCCAAACGCCCACGAACAGCGGTTTGCGCGACGCGGTGGACACATGAAGGTGAAACGATTCGTACGCGTCCATGATGCTGCATCCCCTTTGCAGATGGCAATGTCTGTAAGGAGATACCGCGGCAGCTCTATCATCTCCTGAATCAGTATGGCATGACTGCATAAGCCGTGGCACATTGTCAGCAGCCCTGGGAAGCTCTTCGATATCTCCACCTCGATCGTGTGGTCGATGAAGTGTTCCTCCAAAGATCGACGAGCAGGAGTAAGAGGAGGATAATAGCCCATGCCCCACGACCTCCCCATCCTCTCCCTTCCCTCGTTCCCCTACATGCTCCGCCTATCCATCTCACCCCTCGCTCCCTCTGTCAGGCTACAGACCCTCCCCCCGACTGACCCCGCGCCTGATCCCAGCACTCCTACAGACACCCATTCCCCGTAGCCTGCTCCACGTTCAGCGGGCACACGTAGCTCGGGTCGTACTCTGGAGCGGGGTAGCCCGGCCCGATCACGTAGGCGGCCTTGGGCGGCGCAGAACGGGGAGGAAACCTGCCGTCCTGACGTTGCAAAGCCTCGCCTCGCCTCGCCTCGCCCGCACGCGCGTCGCGCACGGCACGAACCGACATAGAAAGATCAACAGCAGGAGGAGGAGGAGAAATCCCCCCATCCTCCGATCCGCTCACCTAGCCACACTCGCCTTCCATGCCTCCCCTTCTCGCACGCTATCTCTTCCTCGCGTGCTCTGCCCCGGCCCATGACCCACTCGCTCTCGTTTGCATCGGCTAGACTGGCTTCACAACCTGCTCCACCTTTCCCTCATCCTCCCCTCCCCCTGCACATCCTCCCTCCTCCTTCCTTCCACCCTCCTCTCCCCTCCTCCTCCTCCTCCTCCTCCTCCTCCTCCTCCTCCTCCTCCACCACCCTCCTCCCTCCTCCCTCCATCCCTCCTCCCTCCTCAGGAAGGGGTGTGGCTATAAATGCTAAGTCAGTTTGTACACTTGATTCGCACACTGCTGGCGGTAACGGCCCATCGTTCGGCGCCAGACCCATTTCTTCAGGGTCCGGTCGTCGTTCCAGACAGCAAACTGAAGAGCTGAATGGCAACATGCTTGAATTATGAATGTGGAATCTGCGAAGAAGGGTGGGCGCATGCTAATTGTAGCAGTGCTGACCAAGGAGATGAAATATACAGGGATTCCCGGCTAATCCGCCGATCCGGCATGAGTTTACCAGAGCCGGAGCTTCAGCTCTGCTCTGCTGGGGGGGGGGGGCGGGGGGGCTCTGCCGGGGAAGGGGGAGAGGGGTGGGGGAGGGGGAGGGTGTACTAAATTCCTCCCCCCAGGGCGACTCACTTTGTGATTGATTTGCCCATCTCGAATATGGGGGGAGGGTCCCAAGGACCCCCCAAAAAATCTAGATGGGACCCCTCCCAGGACCCCTTTCGGGACCTCCCCCGGGCACTCCCCCGGGGAGCACGAGTGCCTCATATCGGCAGTACTGGCTGGAGGCAACTCAAATTAAGTCAGCATTTGCAATGCAAGTCGTCTCTCATCGAGCACGGACTGCTTTCGGTGAAAAGAAAAGGGCGCCTTCGTCGCGAGCGTCGCTTCGCTGGTCGTCTGCGAGCGTTGTGCGGCCGTGTTGGGACTATACGTGACCACAATGAAGACCTCCTCCTCCCTCCTCTCCTCCTGTCCTCCTCCTCCTCCTCCTCCTCCTCCTGCTCCTCCTCCTCCTCCTCCTCCTCCTCCTCCTCCTGCTCCTCCTCCTCCTCCTCCTCCTCCTCCTCCTCCTCCTCCTCCGCCTCCTCCTCCTCCTCCTCCCTCCCTCCTCCTCTCCCTCCCTCCCTCCTTCCCTCCCTCCCTCATCCACCATTCTCCTCCCTTCCCCCCTCCCTTCCCTATCCTCCCTCCTCCTCCCCCCTCCTCCCCCTCTCCTCCTCCCACCTCCCTCCACCCCTCCCGCTTCCGCCGCCTGCCCGACCCCAGCCTCCGCCCCCCTCGCGCGCCCCACTCTCCGCTCGCCGACGCCTCGATGACGCGCTGCATCTCCTCGGCGCGCGGGCGCATTTCGTGGGCGGGCAGGGGCCGCGGCGACAAAGAGCGCAGAGGCAGGCTGCACGAAGGGGCCCTGGGACGCACGAGTCCGCCGATCCGGCGCGTGAGTTTAAGAAGTCTAAGCTGAAGCTCCGCTTCAGCATGAGCTTCAGCTCTGCTTGGGAGGGGGGGAGGGGGGGGGGACCTCATTAACCGACGAATTCAGTGCTCGGCACCTCCTCCCCTTGCCAGCTGCCCCCCCCCCCCCCGATTTCGGCCCCCCCCTCCGGAGTTTTGCTCTGCAAGGGTGAAGGCAGGAGAGGGAGGGGGGGGGGGTGCAAAAGGGAGGGGGGCCCTCTCAGGCGGGAGCGGGAACTGCAAGGAAAGGCGGGAGGGTCCGCTTTGTAGATGGGCGCTCTGCAAGGGGAGGGGGGGGGACAGGAGAGAGGGGGAGGGGAAAGTTAGGTGCGCTCGCGTCGTATCTGACATCCTACCCCTCCCTCCCATCCCTTACCATGGCGTAGATTCCCTCTCTACTCGCACAGTCGGATGTCGAGCAGGGCAATGATCTCGAAAGGGTACGCGATGCACTGTAGAGCACGGCATGGCATGGCGTAGAAGAGCACCGCACAGCGTAGTATGTCACAGCATGGCGTGGCGTGGCGTGGCGTAGTGAAGAATTGCATCGCAAAGCTTTGCAACGCAAAGCATGGCATCGCACAGCGGCCCCGAACATGACATTGCATAGCATTGCGTTGAAGATCAAAACTTAGAAATTCATTGCACGACGTGGCACTTAAGCACTGCATGTAACAGCTTCAGCTGAAGGCATGACATCGCGCAACGGAACGCAACCGAGCATTGCATTGCATGCCGTGACACGGGAAATGACGCCAGCGCTGCAGCGGGAGTACGATTCGGAACGAGCGGAAGCGCGGAAATGAGGCCAGCGCTGCAGCGGGAGCACGATTCGGAACGAGCGGAAGCACGAAAATGAGGCCAGCGCTGCAGCGGGAGCACGATTCGGAACGAGCGGGGCCCGAAAATGAGGCCAGCGCCTCAGCGAGAGCAGCATTTTGAAACAAATGCAAGCGAAAACCCAACTCCGGGGAATCCTGTGTAAAAAGCAGTACGCGGGGGGGGCGAACACTCCCAACCCGTCATCAGGGGAAAGAAGAGAGTAGTATCCATATTGAGTAGTTGTACAGGAAAGAAGGGGGGGGAAACAGGAGAGAGGGGGGGGGGACAGGGGGGGGTGGACAGGAGAGAGGGGGGGGGAACAGGAGAGGGGGGGGGGGCAAGTTAGGTGCGCTCACGTCAACATCTGACATCCTACCCCTCCCTCCCATCCCTTACCATCGCGCTGATTTTCTCTATCCGCGGACGCGTGTCGTAGCGGACCTGTGGCTCCGCGCGCGTGTGCGTAGTGGGTGGTGGTGCGCGTGCGTGCGTGCGTGTATGCGTGGTTGTGGTTGTTGTGGTGGTGGTGTGTATGTGTGTGTGTGTGTGTGCGTGTGTGCGCGTGTGCTGTGGTGTGACGTGGTGTGGCGTCTTGGTGGTTTGGTGGTGGGCCAGGTGCGTACGTGCGTGATGGCGGTGGTGGTGGTGGCGGTGGTGGTGTGCGTGTGTGTGTGTGTGCGTGTGTGTGCGTGTGTGTGTGTGTGTGTGTGTGTGCGTGTATGTGTTTGTGTGTGCGTGCGTGCGTGTGTGTCTGTGTGTGCGCGCGTGTGATGTGGTGTGACGCGGTGTAGCGTGGTGGTGGTGGGTGGGGTAGTGCGGTGGTGGTGCGGTGCGCGGTGGTGGTGCGCGTGCGTGCGTGCGTGCGTTGGTGGGTGGAAGTGGCGGTGGGTGTGCGTGCGGGGGCGGGGCGTGGTGCGGCGCGGTGGTGGCGGGCGGATGGGCGCGCGAGAAAAAGGCCCGCGCTGGGGCGAGAACGCCATCCTGAACGACGGAGGCAAAACACCAATCCGAAAATGAGGCCCACGCTGCAGAGGGAGCACGATTCGGAACGATTCGGGAGCAGAAATGAGGCCGGCGCCTCAGCGAGAGCAGCATTTTGGAAAATTATCCCGGCAAAGCAACCTAACAGCGATGTGTAGAAGCATATCTGAAAGCATTCCCCTTAAGATTCAGATGAAAATCCAGTTGTAGAATTCTGCTGTTCTCGCAGTCGTAGTCGCATTCGCGATGACAGTCGCAGTGGCAACGGCAGTCGCAGTCACAGCCTCAGCCTCAGCCTGCCTCAGCCTCAGCCTCAGCCTGCCTCAGCCTCAGCCTGCCTCAGCCTCAGCCTCAGCCTGCTGCTTCAGCCTCAGCCTCAGTCTGCCTTCAGCCTCGGCCTCAGCCTCAGCCTGCCTCAGCCTCAGCCTGCATCAGCCTCAGCCTCAGCCTCAGCCTGCCTCAGCATCAGCCTGCTTCAGCCTCAGCCTCAGCCTGCCTCAGCCTCAGCCTCAGTCTGCTTCAGCCTCAGCCTCAGTCTGCCTTCAGCCTCGGCCTCAGCCTCAGCCTGCCT